GCCTGTTCGTGGTGGGCATAATTTGGGGGCTGTCTATTTGGACCCTCACAGACTCATTCACCAGTGTGTGTGCACGTACACACAGGCCCATGCACATGTGCATGTATCTATTTTTGTGTTGGTTTCCCTCTGGATTCACAAGCCAGGCAGATAAGGTTGAGAAGCATGTTGTCCTTCAGAGTGAGAGTAGATAGAGGAATATTCCCATGTTGAGGAAGATGCTCTTGTGCTTGTCTGAGAAGCAGCGTGTTTCCCTGATTTGTCTTGTGTGGCATTACCCGTGATGGCGTCCGGGCCCTACAGTTAGATCCTAAAGAGAAATAGCATGACCCAGTATCCAGAGACAGTTCTCCGAGTGGAGGCTGAGCCCAGGCTGCCTGGGGCAGCCCCGGCAGCTCTCATTTACAGTCTGAGGTGTGCTGGGCTACTGGCTGGCTGGCACCACCCCTCGCCGACAGCAGCGCTGGGCACGCCCACACTCACAGCCGGAAGGTCTACCCTGGAGCTCCCCTCAAGATCCCAGTGCCTGGAATCGATTGCAAAGCATGGGCCCTGAGCTTGCCCAGATTTTCAGCAGGCAGATTGCAGTGCAGGTCAGCATCCCATCACGGGCGACACGCTTGTCCTAATGCCTGATTTCAGCCAGAGTCGTTGAAAATCGTTTTCACATTTACGCTTTAAAAAGTGGAAACTTCCTCAACAAGTCTCTAAAGTTTCCTGAAATGTGTAAGGGAAAAGGACTTAGAGCGTGTCTCTGTGTGCAAATGGCCCTGGCTTCTTCTGCAGGAGGGACTGGTGCCTATAGATCTGAGGGTCTCTCTGCTGTACCCCTAGTTATATCTAGCCACTTCCCTGCAGCAAACCCTGAATCCCTGCTGAAGGGGACAGGGCAATCACCGTGAATGGGGCAGTCATGGCACTGTGGCAGCCAGTTAAGGAGAAGGGCACATGTTCTGGTAATTCGCCCGTGGGTTTACTCACTTAGGTCTTTATAATTCTTTGTGTTGGCATTTTTATAAAGTCCCAGTTGTCCCCATCTCACCTGGATTTTTGTACTCTTTCCCATTGCTGAGCTGATCTCCTGGAAGTGGTCTGGCTGTACACCTGGTTTCTAGGGGTTAATAAAGGTCATCAGGACAGCACACCAAGGCTGGTGGGTAACAGGCTTTCTTGGTTTCTGGAACTTTGGGATTTGTGGTTTTTTAGGTATGTGTCAACACATACCAATACCGAAACATACAGCAGCATATTTAAGTAGGTACTGGAACCACAGGGGTGGGTGGTGTGGTGGGAGGGGCGCGGGAGAGCTTTCTCCTCACACATCTGAGCTGCATGTCCCGAGGCAAGTGGGTCAGTGCGCTCATCTGTGAAATCACAGGGTTTGTTCATAAACGAACATGAACTCAGAAGCCCCCTCCAGTTCTAACAGTCTGTGATTTTCCTCTCTTGGATTTTTAAAACGTAGACGAGATCTTATTGGGGCTGAATGAAGTGAAACGCATATCAATTTATGAACATTAAAAAAATGAATGCCTGGTGCCAGTGAAGGGTGAAATGTTTTAATGTACAAACAGGCTCTGTGGTTGTGCCCTCTGGGCCTAGCGTCTTCTGTGCTTCTGAAAGAGGAAGTGCTCTCCTCTCCTGTGGCCAGGAGGGAGAGGCTGGGGCAGAGGGAAAGGCTGCCGGATCCCCCCGCCAGAGTCTGGCTCCTCGGCTTAAATGGAGGGACTGGTATGAGATCCGTTTCTGGGACCAAACAGGGTCATCACGTTCTAGCATGGTCACTGTCCTCCCCTCCTCCTGCCCCATCCTCTCCTCCTAAGCCCTGGTGACATGATTCTGGAGCAGATTGATTAGATTAGGGGCCTGTGGCTCTATGGGTGTCAAATAATTATGACAGAAAAGTTGCTCTCCTTACAGCCGGCTAAGTGAGAAGTAACTCAGTTTCAGACAGAAAAGATTCAAACTAGGAGTGGTGGACAAGGCTGATGCAGAAGTGTGGGTGGTTGTTCACACACGAATCCTCTGTGCGGTAGTGGACATGGACAGCGTGAAGTGACACTGGGTTCAGACCATCCTGGGGGATGTGGCCTTGCTTCCAGGGAGCTCCAGGAAAGCTTTTCTGAGATGATAGATTCATTTACGAGCCTTGCCAATTGCCCGACACCGTGGACCCCTCTGTATCTTACCTCCTGTAGTTCTGCTAATGTCCCTGTGAGGTAGGTACTCCCCATTTTACAGGTGAGAAAATGGAGCCTTGGAGAAGGTCAGTCACAGGCATGGGGTTAAACTTAGATCTGGCCAAGCTGCGAGCCTGCTCTTAACCACCGTCCTACCCCACCTGAAGGATGGAGCCTGCTTGGAGAGTAGGAGGACCTCTCTCCATCAGGGTAGCCCTGACACTGTGCCCCACAGTTAGCCTCTCTGTTTCTGCTTGGGGAGTTGGGCTTTATTTCTTATTCCCCATTTAGTCTTAGTCTAGGGTGCAACTTATACATTTCGTTCACTGGTGGTTGGCACAGAGCCAGGAATACAAAACAAGTTGATTCAACCCTTGAAATGTCAGAAACGTTTTCTATAGGCAGGGTGTAATTTATAAGATTATTTGAAAATCAGAGCTTTAGGAATGAAATACAGCTATTTTATTGATACCATCATAGGATATGGCCTCAAAGTCACAAAGATTTAACCCATTCAGAAGAGTTTTGCTCTTCTGGAAATAATGACTGAAGCTACAATATGATTAATAACCATGAAGTATTAAACAATTAGAGATGGAAGAGGCCCTCAAGAGTGTGGAGTTAGTGTCCTCATCCTACAAACAGGACACTGAAGCCTGGAGAAGGGTAGGACTCTGCCCTGGGCAGAGCCAGGACCTAACTGGGGCATGAGAACCCTCCCAAGCTTTCCCCCATGTTCTGCTGTTTTCAGCTTCTGTCCCCTTAGTAGTGGCAGTAACCACCAAGAAAGACGTTTCACAGGGATGACTCGTCACATTTGTCAGGGTCTCCCACCATGATTTTTCTCTGTCCTATTCCTGGAGAGAAGGGTGTCCCTATGGGAGGTACCTGTAATGGTGAACTTTGCTGACTCTTACAATTTTTTAGTCTTTTGCTGAAGTCAGAGTACGGGACAGTCATGGGGAAGAGAAATGCATGGACTGCCTCCTGTGTGTGTGTGTGTGTGCCTCTGTGGAACTTTTGAATCAAAGGTTTTTCTGTGGTTGGACTGTGGATTTTTTGTTTGTTTTTGGTTTGTTTGGTTTTGTCTCTGTTTTTTGTTTTGTTTTGCATGAAGTTGTGAAAAAAATGAATCAAAGTTTGTAGTTGGTTTCCTCTGACTTAACTAAGGAAGAAAGAAGTTATTCTGAGAATACAGTAATATACCATGCATCTGTAATTCTGCTCATTTTGCCTTCACTTTTGAAACCTTTGTCTAAATGTGCCTGGAGATGGCTGTTGAGAACTCCCCATCCCAACCCCCTGCCCCAGCAGGCTCAGTTCTCTGGGTGCTCACAAAAAGAAAGAGTCTTCTTTCATGCCTCAGAAAAGATGTTTCTCAGCTGTCTGGGCCGTTTGAGTCAGGTCCATGTTCATCCATGTCATCCACATCCTGTCTCCTGAGCAGGGTCAGCAGAGATGCAGCTGCCCAGACAGAGCTCACTGGTCCTGCTCCTTTGCCCTGTATGCCTGGGCTGGCCTCGGACTCCTCACTGCAGCACTCCAGGCACCGCTGCCAGGTTTCACAGATGAAACAGAGGCATCCTGCCTAAGAAGAGCCACATGGGCAGAGCCCATGGCAGGAAGGACCTTCCTGTTAACACCATTAGGTCTATAAGAACGATAGGCCTCTGTGGCTCAAAATTATGCACCAGGGAAAAGAAGTGAATGTGTTTGGGTGATTCGCCTGTGTTTCGACTTTCGATGACCCCAGAGCAGAATTAGTCATTCCTTACTATGTGTTTCTGGAGCTCCTGACCCCTGCGGTAGCTCTTTTCCCAGAAGGTTGAAATCCCCTGGGGGCTGCCTCTCCCACTGGGCCTCCAGGGCAGGTGCAGAGCCTGGGCCCTCATTGTATCCTGCACCTCCTTTACTGCCTGATCTCCTATGCACATTTGTGACATTTCTAGGGTTGAATCAAGTGGAGGAAAAAAACACCCACGTGCCAGGTGGTGGCTCTGGGTGGGTCTCTGGGCCTCCCAGTGCTAGTGGGTGCTTTTCCACATTTCCTCTGCTTCTGCTCAGCGTCCTGCTGTGGGAGAAGGAGACTTACCCAGAGACCCTGGTTGCACTGGGACCACAGTCAGCTTTGCTTTCTGGTTGCTGATTTGAGGAAAACCCTGTTCTACCCATAAGATTATACTTCTTGGTGCTCTGGTGCCAGCATCTTTGGTCTGCATTTTCTGCATGTGGGTTTTACGAGCTCGGCGCAAGAATAGCAGCTAAATTAACTGAAATGATTCGAATCCTTAAATTTTTGAAAAGATCATGTGCCTGGTACCTTCATGCACTCCTCCCTCTATGATACTGTCTCTCCTTCAGTGTATTTAAAATAAGAATTTGTTTATGAAATAATAGGTTTATTCACAGATTTTCTAGAGTACACCTGTGGGGATGAGAAAAGGTGTGGCTGTAATGGAGATATTTTGGGGACCTCTCAGCAGAGACCTGGAAGTCAGAAGAGTTGGCTGGTGCCAGGCACAGCGGCAGGGTTCTGTGTGGTCCCTAGTTTCCTTGGAAAGTTGGGTGGACAGGATTTCTTCCTTTTGGGGGACTCTGGGCTTCCTCAGCAGATCATGGAAGTGAGGCCCCCCCACCATGGAGGCACCTGGCTTCTCAGCACTTCCTTTTGCTGGTCCAGCCCATGAGGACCCTTCCGCACCCTCCTCATCCTCTTGCCAGTTTCCCAGAGGGTCAGCCTGGAGGCCGAGGTCACATCTGTCCCGCCCCAGGCATGCAGTGCATCCATCACTGCATCTCCAGTGTTTCTTCTCCCCACAGCCAGCATGCCCACCAGTGAGACAGAGTCTGTGAATACGGAGAACGTGAGCGGGGAAGGCGAGAACCAAGGCTGCTGTGGGAGCCTCTGGTGAGTGTGGGAGCTCCTTCCCTCTTGGCTCCTTCTGGCTTCTTAGAGAAGCAGTTCTGAGGAAGACATCCCGACTTCAGTGGAGCCCTGGGGCCGTGGCCTCAGTGCAGGAGGGGTGGGCAGGCTCACTTTGGACCCCTCGGTCCTCCTCCTCCTCCTATCCTAGGGCCCCCAGGCCCCCAGCATTTCACCTCCACTTCCTCCAAAGCAGTCTGTCCTGCTGAGGTGGAGCCTGCTGTGGGGTGAGCCAGGTAACCTGGCCATCCCTTGTGTCCACTAGGTGCTGGTGGAGAGGAAGAGGCGCTGCGCAGGCCGGGCCCTCTGGTTGTCGGCGGTGGGGGTAAAAGGCCGATTCTCCTCCAAGTTTGGGGCTGGCATCAGTGCTTTGACTAAGAGCTTGTATGGCAGAGATGCTGATAGAATGTGCTACACGTTTAAGTTTCCTTCACTCGCAGGATCTCCCACCCTCATGCATAGCGGCTGGATGATGAGGCCACGCCCTCCTCCACTCCTGCACTCTTTCTGTGGAGCCCTGCACCACCCTCTCCGCACCATGGAGGACACATGAACACCCACTGGCTTATTTTCTAGCTGAGCTGGGCTGCAGCAGTGGGCACACCAGCAGCGTGGAATGTGCAGAGTCCCGCCTGCCTTGGGGGAACCCCTTGCAGTCCTGTTTGCTTCCTGCTGGTGTCCCTTAGGTCTTAGGTCTGTCCAGTACAGATGTCATTTCTAAGAGAATCTGATCTCCTTGGCAGAGGTCCATAAAGATAATGTGTTAGAAGCAGAAAACTCAACAGTTGATGAAGTGAGTTTGCCTCCTTTCTCTTGCTCTGCCCTCCTACAGTAGCATGAAGTAGGCAGAGGATGGGTTTCTCTTGCCCTTTTACAGCTGAGAACACTGAGGCTTGAAAAGGTGAGCTGCCTGCCAGAGCTCCCGCAGTTAGTGAGGAGCAGAGCTGGGGCTCCCAGCCCAGTGCTCCTTGGGCTATAGTAGCAGCACGTGCTGCTGGTGAGATGAGAGGCTGGGCTGTGGGCGGGAGAGGCCCTGCTGGTTTCAGTTTGAGGAATTTAGGGTGGCGGGGAGAGGAACCCCTGACTTCGCTGCCTGTACCAGGGCTGCTCGGGGCATCCAGCTAAGAGTGTTCTCTTGCCTGGCCCCCTGCTTGCTCCGCTGTCACCCTTGCTGGCCAGCTGCAAGAGCCGGGGGTGCCCAGGCCAGGCTTCTATGCATGGCTTTTACAGTATCTCTGCCCAAAGGTCCGGGGAGTGTACGCTCAAGCCTTCCTAACAGGTGTCATATTCTTTTTGTCTTTCTTTCAGTCAAGCCATCTCAAAATCCAAGCTCAGGTCAGTATCTTCTTTCTATTTTTTCTTAAGCCTGTGTATGGGTTTTTTACATTCTAACTTCTTAATTTTACGTAGGATTGCTCTAGACTTGATTTTCACTCTGTGGGCTCTAACATTCACATGGAAGATCAATCTGCCCAGTGAACAGTAAGTACCTGCTTTGGAGAACAGTGTAGTAAGGGCCAAAGATCTCCCACCAAAACAAATAGACTGACAAGATGCAGCAATGAATGATGTTTTTGCCTACTAATCAACCTTTCCTATCCCCTCCCAGAGTCATTTCTCTAAGAGATACCTTGTCATTTTTATGCTTAAAACTTTTCCACGAAAGTAGGTTCAAGAAGTTTCCTGAGTTGCTTATAACGTTCTGTTTCTTGCTCTGGGTGCAGGTTACATAGTCAATTAGTAAAAACTCATTGAGACATATACCAAGGATTTGTTACTCTTCTGTATAAATACTATTTTTCAGTTAAAGACAGCATTCTACCACTGTATACAAAAATTAACTGGAAATGGACATAGAACTAAATATAAAACTTTAAAAATTCTAGAAGAAAGCATAGGAGAAAACCTTTGTGACCTTGGGTTAGGCAAAGGTTTCTTGGGTATTACACCCAAAGCACTGACCATAACAGGAAAAATGGAAACTACTTCTCTTTGAAAGAAACAGATCAGCTGTAGACTAGAAGAGAAAATATTTGCAATATTTGCAAAACATAATTGATAAAGGACTAGTATCCAGTATAAAGAGTAGTGTCAAAAATAAGAAAGCAACCCAATAAAAAATAGACAATAGATGTTTAACAGGCATATAGCCGAAGAAGAGATATGGATGGCAAATAAGCACATGAAATGACTACTGGTCGTTAGGAAAATGCAAATTACAATCACAATGAGATACCACTACACACCTATAGAAGAGATCAGATTTAAAAATCGGGCAGTCTCATGTTTGGCAAGGGTGCAGATCAGTGGAAATTTTTACATACTGCTGCATGTCAAATGACATAGTCATTTGAAAAGCAAGTTGGCAGTTTCTTGTAAAGTCAAATATGTATTTACCGCATGACCCAGCAGTCCCCCTTCTAAGGTATTTTTATAAGAGAAATGAAGCTAGATGCCTACACAAAAAATTTTGCATGAATGTTTATATTCATAAACATTAAATATGTATAATTTATAAATAAAAAACTCCAGAAAGATCAACAACACAAATGAATCTCCAGTGACTCACAACACACATGAATCACAAATGAATTTTTGCCAAGAGAAGGAAGCCAGTCTCAAAAAATTATATATTGTATGATGCTATTTATAGGACATTCTGGATTAAGCAAAATAAAAGAGAAAGAAAACAGATCAGTAGTTGTCAGGGGCTGGAGTGAGGAGAGTGGATTAACTGCAAAGGGCCATGAAGGAACTTTTTTGAATGATGGAAATATCCTACATCCTTTAAAAATTTAAAAAAAAATTTTTTTTTTACAGTTTTAAAGGTTACTTTCCATTTATAGTTACTACAAGATATTGCCACTATTCCTTGTGCTGTGCAGTATATCCTCGAGCCTGTCTTACACCCAACAGTTTGTACCTCCCACTCCCCCACCCTGATATTGCCCCTCTCCCCGCTCCCCACTCAAGGAGTCCGAGCTTTGGACGACTCCCCAGATGTCAAATGGACAGGCGGTCTATTTCTTCCCACCTGAGTCTGTTTGGGGGAACTGAGTGGAGTGCCCTGCCCTCTGCCTCCTGGCTAACTCTTACTCAGCTATTGAGAGCCAACCCAAATCTCAACTTTTTGGCTAAGCCTTCCTTGACTCTTCCAAAGATCTGTTGCAGCTCCTTTCTCATTGTTCCTGAACCCAGTACCCTAGGCATAGTACTTGGTGTGGATTTGTAATTGCCACAGCCCAGCGTGCTATTCGTGGATGGGGGCCATGGACCTGCCTTCTTCATCTCCACATGCCCAGTGCCCAGTGCAGGGTTTCAGGGGCTGTGACAGTGGGGTTGCCTGAATTTGGGAGGCACCTGTGTCTTGTCACTGCAGCATAAATAGACCCACCTCTTGTTGAGGCCATCTTGCTTGTGTGTCCTGAATTACGCATCACAGGAGAAGCCCAGACTTGCAGGGAAAGTCTTTAGTATCCTTGGTGGAATTTTTCCACAGTTATCCTGTTTCCAGCTGCTATTACCATTGGAAACCACACAGCAAGAGAGATAACAAAATGTACCCTGCTTGTCCCAGGTCTTGCTGAAGAGTTGGCACAACTGTTTCTTTGGTCCCTGGGTTACGGTGTTCTTAGCAGAGCAGTGCAGCTGAGTCAGCAGGGCTGCAGCCTGGAGACAGTTTAGAGATTCCTCTGACTCAGGGCCTTAGAGCAAGTGCCCACCTCCCCCGTCATTGAGCACAGGGCTGATGTTGCTATTTGGCTGGCTCCTCCCTGGGACCCCCTTCACCAAGCCATCCTGTGGCAGGGAACATTGCCCATCGGGAGATGGCTAAGGGAAAGAATAATTCCTCTGATTACATATGGAAACTGAAAGTTGGTAGAGGACATGCTACTTGTGTGTTTGGCTCAGCTCATTTTATTTGTATGGAAACATGATTCAATATTGGCTCTTCTCCTAAAGGTGTATTTTGAGCATCACTAGTTAGAAAGGACACCTGATGACTCAGTAAGACTCACGTCCTACTCAGCATTGACAACTCTGTGTCAGGCTCCAGAGGAACCTCCCGGATTTAAGAAAGGACTGAAAGTTTCTCTAAAAGGAAATCTCAGGTTTTTGAGCACTTCGCTACCTGATAATTCTGTATGATGATTGAGATAGATGCTGTGAGAGATGTGTATGGAAAGCTAGTGTCTCTCTGCACCAAGAGCACGGACAGCTCCACGGGCCACACGGTAGAAGTGTGAACCACGTACGTGTGTGAGCTCAGTTTTGCATCTGCACGTGATTCTGTGAATATCTAGATTTCCTTACCACTTTGAGGACTGCATATGACAGATTATGGAGTTATCTAAAGCCATAGGGAGGAAACTGATTTCATGATCAAGTCAGGACTAGTTTTAAAAGTTGTCTTACAAGCTCTGGTCATTACTGTGCCGTTTGTTCTCCTCTCTCCTTTCTGCACGCCCACCCCTATCTGGGCCTCTGGGGCGCAGTTACTCCTCAGTGGTGGTGATCGGGGCTGTGTCTGTCATCTAGGAAGTAACGTTTGCTTCTCTTTCAGCCGACGCTGGCGTCGCTGGAACCGCTTCAATCGCCGAAGATGCAGGGCTGCTGTGAAGTCTGTCACGTTTTACTGGCTGGTTATTGTCCTGGTGTTTCTCAACACCTTAACCATTTCCTCCGAGCACTACAACCAGCCTGACTGGTTGACACAGATTCAAGGTATAAGCAGAGGTTTTTCTCTTTTTGTTCTGAAGAGGGGATTCCCTGAGGCTGTCCGGCTGCGATATAGTCTTTTCTGATCGATGTGTAATAGTGTATAGGAACATTGCCAGTGATTAACTTGGAAGACGGCAGAAACGTGCAGATACGAAGTGCACTTGGAGGAGGATTGTGATCTGTGCCATGAAGCACCTTGGAGCTGATGAACTTCAGAGCATTTCACGGGCTTGACCCTGGGACCAGCCGAGGATCACAGAATCTTGCAGCTGGAAGGGACTTCATGTCCTTTCTCCGTGCCCCTCTGGAAGCTTTCTTTCCCTCTCTCGTATCCTTGGCAATGATAACTGTTCCTCTACCTCAAATGCCCCAGCAGTGTGGTTGGGGAGCTCATCCCATTCTGAGTTTTAATGGTTTTGAGCTCTTGTGAAGTCCTGCCTGGCATTGTCAGATCTGTTCAACTCTCTAACCTGCTGGGTGTGGTATTTTCTGAAATGACCTTGATAGGCAACTGCTTCTTAGATCGTGGTGCTGTAAGCAAGACTAGACAGATCTCTTGGTGACTAATTGAAACCAAAAAGTGTGATGATCTAAATGCAGAATCATATGCTCTTAGTGCTTGGAAGCATCAGAGATTATGTGGTCAGCAGCCCCTCCCCATTTCACAGTCAGTTAAACTGAGGCCTGGAGAAAGCAAGGAACTTCTCCAAGAGCCACATGTCTAGGTAGTAGCAGAAGCAGGACTAGAACCTGGCAGACAAATGGACTGTAAACATTCATACCATATTTCTGTCATGGGGAGAAATAGCAAAGACAGGGACAAAGGTACTTGGGGGCACTTCCGGCAGGGACTGGTGGGAGAGAGATGGGGAGAGGGGAGTATGAGCCTCTTCCCTGATGAGACCCTGAAGATGTGTGCCCCTTTGTCTTTCCAGACATTGCTAACAAAGTCCTTTTGGCTCTGTTCACCTGCGAGATGCTGGTAAAAATGTACAGCTTGGGTCTCCAGGCGTATTTCGTGTCTCTTTTTAATCGGTTTGATTGCTTTGTGGTGTGTGGTGGAATTACCGAAACCATCTTGGTGGAACTGGAAATCATGTCTCCCCTGGGCATCTCTGTGTTTCGATGTGTGCGCCTCCTGAGAATTTTCAAAGTGACCAGGTGAGGACCAGCACGTCTCACTGGAGGCATTTTCTGAATGTGGGTGGTGGTCAGCCCTATCCCCTGTCCCTGCCCAGGGGACATTCTCCAACCCAGTTGGCACTCTGGGCTCACCCCCTTGTCTTGACTTGCAGGCACTGGACGTCCCTGAGCAACTTGGTGGCATCCTTGTTAAACTCCATGAAGTCCATCGCTTCGCTGCTGCTTCTGCTTTTCCTCTTCATCATCATCTTTTCCTTGCTTGGGATGCAGCTGTTCGGCGGCAAGTTTAATTTCGACGAAACGCAAACCAAGAGGAGCACCTTTGATAATTTCCCTCAAGCACTTCTAACGGTGTTCCAGGTGAGTCCTGCCCTCCCCTCCCCGGGCCGCGCCTTGTGAGAGGCCACTTTGTCCACGATTCAATAGGACAGAATGATTCCATTGTTATTGTATGAGGAACCTCTGCCCTAATAACAACTCTGATGAATTTTGTGTCATTTAAGTCATTTGTTTAGTATCTCACTCCAGCAAATCTATGTGCTGTGATTTCATGTTTTTGTGAGACCTCTAGATGTATTACAAAATGATAAACTGAAAACTTCTGTGTGATTCTATGAGGTTTCTGAGGTTCCTGTGAGATAGACTCTAAAATCCTCTTCTTGTCCTTTGCTAATATTTGATTTCAGGCAAGTTTATAATCCTGGTTATAACGGATTTTTGCAAAGAAGTGACTTCTGAAGCCCTAATACTTCGGTCTACAGTCAGGGGAATCAGGGTGATTAAGGAGTTGTGACAGCTTTCTGCCCCTTTGTTGTCTTCTCTCGTGTGATGTAATGGGGATATATGGACTCTTAGGATGTCTCTGCTGTTGAGCTCTTTTCAGGCATCAGGCCGAGAAGGGAGCAACAGTGTCTGAGGTTCCCAGGTTGCCCTGTGCTCAGAGGCCCAGCCTCTCCACCCAACCTGGCTCTAAGCGGAGTGTTCTAAACCCCCTTCTTGTATATTGTGACCTGAAACCCTTCCTTGGCAGGTAAATTTAAAAGACATGTATGCCCTTGTTGGTTTTCACTTGCGATCTCTCCCCTCCAGGAGAGGCGGGAAGGCCTGGTGGGAGGGGCAGTGAACATGGACGTCCCATGTGCTCAGCTCTATGACCTCGGAAAGCCCCTGTTTTCTGAAAAATGAGAGCCTAGACAGAATGATTGCTGAGGTTCTTGCCCACGTGGTCATTTTGAAGTGATTGAAATTATTGTCACTGTTATATAGCAATATAGTATGATATAATTCAATTTTTTGAACTATGCTTAATTTCTGGCCACTGACAAATTATTATTTTTTCTGATTTCTTTCACAGAAATCTGTATGGTGGTTGTTGTTTTTATAGTACTTGTATGTGTGGCACAAAATTCAAATATTAAAAACATATAAAGTAACAAGTCTCCCGCCAACCCAGCCCCCAATTTCCCCTTGTAGGAGGCAACTACCATTACACGGATTCTTGTATGTTCTTCAGACATAAATACATTTGCCCACCTGCATACCTACATAGATGAATTTACACAGATGGTAGCTCATTCTACATGCTTTTTTTTCACCTTTCTTTTTATCGCCTAGGGTGTCCTTAAGACCCTTCCTTACAGGTCCATAAACAGCTGCCTCCTCCTTCTCAGTGTTGTGTATTTTTTATGGTGTGAATGTGCTATAATTCATGAAGCATCCCCTGCTGGTGAATATTTGATTGTATCTAGTCTTGGCTCAGTGGGTGACCTTTAACATACACCAGGGGGCACGTGTGTGAGTAGATCTGTAGGATAAATTCCCCCGAGTGGAATTACTGGTTTAAAGGGTGAATGTCCATATGCACCTTTGACACTCTTGCCCAAGTATTCTCTTTAAGACTGTGTTAGTTCAGCCTCCAGGGATGGGGTGTAGAGACTGCCTGTGGCCTCACTCCCTGTCACCACAGTGAGTGTTCCAACTTTTTGATGGGTACCTGTCTGGTAGATGAAAATGGCATCTCATTGTAGTTGTAGTTGGTATTTTGTCAGGAGTGAAGCTGGATGTCTTTTCATATGACTCAGAGCCATTTATAGTTCGTTTTCTATGAGTTGCTTTACTTTTTCAAATCTGAGTATGATTCACATTGTAGATACAGTTTTCCATTTCCACAGTTAATTAGCTATGAGGAATACTATGCAGTGGTTAAAAACAATGACCATGAACCTATTGACACAGAGGGTCTCAGGAGTATGTTGTTGAGTGGGGGGAATAAAAGCAAATTGCAGAAAATTCCAATAGTATGATACCCTTTATGTCTAAGAAATTAAAGAAGACACCAACTTCCTGCTTTCTCAGAATGTGTACATATGTGTTCAAATGCACAGACAGAGGTCCTGGAGAGGTGCAGCAGCAGCATTCTCCTGGGGAGGGGACTGAATTGGCTCGCATATAATCAAAGGGTATACACGTCTTATGTGGAATGTTACCTTATTTTCACCACAAGAGTTAACTCATGAATTTGTGTGGTTAAGAATAGTGTTTTGAAGACTTTATGGAAGAGTGGATGGATTTGTTCATTGCAAACTGGATTGTGAGAAGCAGCTTACAGCAGACATGGGAAGCCACCAGGAGCACTGGGAGGACATGGGAATTGTAACTCCACCTGCCAGCTGACTCCAGTCTTGACCTCTTAGATTCTGACAGGTGAAGACTGGAATGCTGTGATGTATGATGGCATCATGGCGTATGGGGGCCCATCATCTTCAGGAATGATCGTCTGCATCTACTTCATCATCCTCTTCATCTGCGGTAACTGTATCCTTCAGAACGAGCAGGGCCATCTCATCTCACGGTCTTGTTGGGGGTCTTCCTCTCTGAGTTTTCCGATAGCAGTGGTGGTAGCAATTGTGTGGGGGAGGGGAGTTCATGTGCTCTCCTTCACTGTTGCTGGGACGGCATGGGAGAAGCAAGTCTCAGACTTTGAGGAGTGAGCGCAGCCAGTGGGAAGGAGCCTGAGAAGGCACGTGGCCATACCAGTGGTCACCTACTCGGCATCACATCACGTCTCCTGCACAGGTCCTGAGGGAGGGCTTCATGCAAAGGCACGTTACTCTCTGTGTCATCACTCTTAAGTGTGGAGGGAGTAAAAATGTCCCTCTGCCTTCTAGGTAGAAATCCGTAGGTATGGGACATAAGAAGTGACCAAAGCAGGCTGCTTATATACCTTTTTAGAGAAGGAATCAGTTCTTTGTGAAGATTTGACAAAATGGAAGGGTGTTTGCTTGGAGTAGCAAGTTGATGGAGAGGTAACAAGCATTGTTTATATATAACTGTCTCAGCCTCACATTCCCTGTCTCCAACAGCAAGGATGTTCTCCATCCTCCTGGCTTGGGGAGGATGCCTTTCTATGGGAGCTTTGTTTCCTGCTTTTAGGGAAACAAAAGGCAATTCAGAGTTTTACTTGTACCAGCTCTTTCTCAAGTAACTTTAATTCACAATCATCAATACGCCACCTTGGCATGTTTTGGGGTGACCTGGTCCGAGCCCCATTAAGAGGTTAGGGGTATATCTATATTTTCTTAAGACCCTTCATAACAGATGGGGACCCATCTTCAGTGGATTGACCTAATTCTGCTTTGCTGATCTGTACGTCTTTGGGGGTCAAGCACCCATTGGCCAACTGCTCTATCCTGCTTAGTGACTTTCTCCAACTTAATCCTCTTCCCTGCCAAGAAGTACTCTCTAATTCTAGGCTTCTGAAAATTCAGATCTCTCGTTACCTCACTCTGCCCCTTCATGACCCTGTGACTTCAGTTGTGTCTGCTTTCTCTCTGCCCCTGCCCCGGCCCCAAACCTGTTATGTGCAGGTCCTCAATAAAGGTTTGGTCAAAGACCAAAGGAGACCTCTTCATCTTCCCTGTTTTATTTTAAAGAATCCTAATCTGGATTCTTCTCCTGAGGAGTCCTAGATCCTTTGAGCTGTTTTCCGCTTCTTCTTCTCTTGCTTGTTAGTGAATTTTCTTCAAGGTGGTAATCCAGTGCAGACCTGTGGGGATCATGCTTTGTGCTGCAGTTTATTCTATGGAAGTCCCTCTCTCAACACAGAAATCCTACAGCGCCAGCCTCTGCTGCTGCACGGAGCCACCACTGCCCTCCTCCTGCCCAGGGGTGAGCTCTCCTGCTAGGTTCTGTGCCTCTTACTGCCTGTGGGGTCTGCTGTCTGTTGGATATTGGGGTGACATTCCTCCATCTTCCCAACTAGATGAGAATTATCCTGAGTCAGGAATCTTGTTTTGTATTCACATCTCTCATGGCTTACACCACAGGGTCTTGCACATTCAGCCCTTGGTAAATACTTATTTAGTGAATAATCAGTATTTTCTTTTACTGCTCACTTCATGATTAGGCCACAGTGATATCCTGGCTTTAATCTGCAGACAAGTGTTCCCTGGCCCCTTTCTATCCAGTTAGATGCTGTGTTTTCTTTGTAGCATGTGTACCGCTCTCTGAAATACTTAAATCATTTATTTTCTGTCTCTCTCAACTAGAATGGATGCTCCTTGGGAGCGGGGACTCCAGTCTGCCTGTTTCCTCCCATGTTCCCAGCACCCAGAATGGTGTCTGGCACCTTAGAGGTGCTTAGCAGGTCTTTTCAAATGAACTCCACAGCACACCACTGTTGAGGAGGATCTGGTGGATAATGCCTCCAAATACAGATGAAACACGGGGTATTTGCTCTTAGAAACCATCTGTTACGTATATGCAAGATTTTCCTGTGCTTTCTTACTCTAGATTTGCTTTCCCCTACCTAAGAGAGTTTCATGTCATTGTGAGACTAGAGATGTAGTGTTTTTTTTATCGGGATCACTAGTAGAAATTCTCAATACAGGTAGTCCCAGGATTCATTGTTCTGTGAGCCACAGTCACCCCACGCCCCTCAGAGGAGTGTTCCTCTTGCCGACCATCACCTAGTCTGGGACAGACTGCTGCTTCAGGCTCATTGCAGCTCTGTTTAAAAAATAGTCTAATGTGTCAAAGGTGTTTTGAAAGTCTTAATAGAATTCACTCACATTTAAGCTAGCTCACCATCGGTCCTTTGTTAGATTATGTTTGTTTACATGCTGAGAGACCTACCTGCGAGTTCAGATTGCTCAGGGCTTTTGGGACCGTGGTGTGCCTCTTCTGTCTTGGGGTCCCTGGGTTTTCTTCATCTTGCATGTGGGTGGCTGGGCATCAGCCAGAGGGATGCATTAGTCGGAGAAGGGAATCCTCTTGACCTATGGCCCTCTGATCCCTGTGCTTCTCAAAAATGGTACAGAAATGCTAGCAAATAAGAAATCTTCTGATTTGGGAATCTTATTCATAGTTTTTTTTCAGTCACGCAAGGAAACCACGCATATAGCATTATAGTAAGAGCTCAAAACCTTTTTACTATTTGCAAAAATTAAATTCAACCACAAGAGTCAAAGATACAGCCACAGTGGGACAATGCAAAATAATAGTCGGGCGCCATCTGGCCGTGAGTCAGGCATGCTCTAGACAGTGTTTGTGGAATGAATGAGTGAACGAGGTGTTCACAGATTCAGATGATCATTTCAGATGAGAAAGGCTCAGACTGTCTTGTGTGATGGGATCATCATTTGAATGATGTGTAGCCTTTCATGAGGTTTATTTTGGAAAACACCCCAGATAAATAGGTGTGGGTGGTGTGTGTTTTAAAAGAAGTAAAATGCATAGAGTGAGATGCATAAAAATGCCATTTGTTTGTCATAGGTTGTTTTATGCAACACGTGTCACAGCCATAGAGACCTAGATGTAGCGACACGCACATGCCCAGGCACACGCAGGGGCGGAAGTGTTGACGTTTGCAGGTTTTCTTGGGTTTCGGTGAATCTTAATTTTGCTTTTTTCCAGATTATCTTCTACAGGCTCTAGTTCTTTTTGAAAAATGGGGCTCTGGCCCCCTGGCTTTACCAAGTGAATATAGCACTAGGGGACAGTCACCTGTCACCAGCCTCCTGAAACACCGAGGGGTGTGATGTTGCCATTGTTCACTGTATGTAGCTGCCTTTTGAAACGTGTTGTACCCTTAAAACATTCAAATTAGATATTCTACTGAATGTCTTTTTGGCCATTGCTGTAGACAACTTGGCTGATGCTGAAAGCTTGAACACTGCTCAGAAGGAGGAAGCTGAAGAAAAGGAAAGGAAAAAGATTGCCAGGTAACCCCGTTTTCACCTGAGGGTTCTAACCCGCAGAGCCAGTTGCAGGTGGGGCTTGGTGGGCAGCACGGACTGCATGGCAGCTCCCAGGCTGCTGTGTGGTGGGGATCGTGGATGGCCCTGTGAGGTACATCAAAACGGGTGGAATCTTAGGCAGAATCCAGGCCCTTGACTCTCAGCCCCTCAGAGCTGGGAGTGGGAGTCGCACATCCCCATGCTTAAAGAATCACGTGGTTAATTTTGGTGTCATAAAATAAATGATGCATTCAACGCTGATTAGCTCTTGGATGAGAATTTTAATAAGATGATCTGTGTAATGAATTCAGTGCATTGAGATGAACAGGAAGCTCTGAGTGTGGGTTGTGCTGTGTTCTTGCTGTTAGGGTTGTTTCCAATTAAATTCTGTCCTTCTTTGGGCCACTGTTGATTCAGAATGCTGATTAGCTTTTTTATACAAAACAATATGGTTACTTGGTTTCTTTTGTTCTGTTCCCTTCTCTATAGAAAAGAAAGCCTGGAAAATAAAAAGAACAACAAACCAGAAGTCAACCAGATAGCCAACAGTGACAACAAGGTATGTGTTATGTTCTCCCCTTTGTTTCAAAATGATTCTGTTGATACCACCGTAAATGTGCCCTTTACACCATGACAGTGATGTGTGTGACATTTGGGTGTGAGAGTATGTCACCCTATCACAGACGTTGGCTTTCCGGGGGCTTCTGAGTGACTTGAGGCACTTGGCTGGTGATCAGTAGTATTTCACCAGGGAACTGGTATGATAAATATTGAACTGGTCTGACCACATGTATTTTCTTGATTGGAATGATGTGGCCAGACCTGACCTGTGTTAGTGTCTTCTCAGTGAGGTCCCCTGTAGGGAGGCAGAATCTGCAGTGTAGTTCTCATACAGTGTGTGTGACGGCGACGGAGAGGAGGAGGGCAGGGATGGTGCCGGCTGTCCATGGCTGGGTAGGAGTGACACATCTTCTCCTCGTCTGCCCTCAGAGCAGAGTCATTTCTGGGGGGCAACTGCCATCCCAACACAGTCACATACAGCACACACTTTGGAGACGACTTCTCTGCCCTGTGCTGAACGGCAGAGTCAAGTCTTTGCCCCTCGCTAGTATGTATAAGTCAGAGGCTCCCTTCCTCCCCAGACCTCTCTGTCATCCCAGGTTACAATTGACGACTACCGAGAAGAGGATGAGGACAAGGACCCCTACCCGCCTTGTGATGTGCCAGGTATGGTGGCAGAGGCCATAGACAGGCTCTCAGCTCTTGAGGGTGTGACTTTGCTCCCTCTCTGATCAGTGGCTGAATCTGTGGCCAGTTGGCCCAGCTGGGGCACACGCAGGGCTGCTGAGGCTGCCAGGGCCACCAAGGCCATGGATCTAGTCCCCATGTGGGCCAGTTAGCTCTGCGTTTTCTTATGGTTGTAGGCAGCTTATGTAACCCAGAATCCAGGTGGAGAGGGGAGAACTCGGAGGTGGAGCAGGGCAAGCCCCGCCTTGCCCAGGACATCTCTCAAGGAGGCAACCAGTTATCAACATTCACCTGACACTTTGACATTGACCGGGGCCTTTGTTGGCTGACGTAGAAGGGACTGTGACATTGGGGAGCCTGGGGGACTGACTGTATAATTTAAAATCCCACATAGTTTTTCAGGCTAGAGCTGAGCAAGGAGGTTACTGGGGAAGCAGCCAGGTGCTCAGAACGCGGCAGTGGGAATCCCACTGCTGCTACCTCTACCTGTGCTCAGATCTTAAACGCATTCCCACAGCTCCACACGCTCACCAGACAGGCATCCTTTTCAGGCCCGCCTCACCCCCTCGCACTCTCAGTTCATATATGGAAGGGTTTTGATGAATCTAAGCTGATAGATGATGATACATTTTAAGCCAAATTTTCATGTGAAATTGAGAGTAATAATTCCAAACCACATGCAGTCTTTGTTTATTTCATGTCTATAAAAAAAGTGTCTCCTTTAAAGTAGGTGAAGAGGAAGAAGAGGAGGAGGAGGATGAGCCTGAGGTTCCAGCTGGCCCCCGTCCTCGCAGAATCTCTGAGTTGAACATGAAAGAGAAAATTGCCCCTATTCCCGAAGGGAGCGCTTTCTTCATTCTTAGCAAGACCAACCCGTAAATATCCCCTTTCTAGTCTCTCCCAGGACCCTACAGGTTGCTTGTGGGTGGCTGGGGATGGGGTGAGGGTAGGTGGTTCACAGCCCCTTTCTGCACCTGAACATCAGGACCCCCGGGCTGCCTCTGACGCCTGTCCTGCTCCAGCCTAGCTTTTGCCCTCTATTCATCTCTTCCTCACCTTCCTGTGCCTGGACCAGGGGCCATAGGGGTGTGACCAGGTCCTGGGAGGAGGACCATTCCAGACTCTCGTCCCTGCTAAACCCTGCACTAGGACAGCAGGGGTACAGTGCCTGGGGCTTGGTTGGAGCCCGCAGCTCTGGTGCTCCATGGGTTGTCGCCTGTGTTTTCCATCCAGAGGAACTTTTCTTCACCAGGGGTCTTCTGTGAAGATGGGGCTGAGGATTTTTGACCAGCTTATGCACAGCATCTTCACCCAGTGACCCAGTTTAGTTGATTACTTTTCCCTATTGAGTTTTATGATGGTAAAGTAATATCAGTCAGTGATATTTTATAGGTGGTATCTATTCAATGCAGCTCCATAATATCCTGCTTAGAGTAGCATTTCTCCTGTTAAAAGATAAGGTGCTCACCAGGAACATGGTAATTACTCACAAGTACTATAAGACGAGATGGGGGTTTTCTAGCTGGTTTCTGGGCTTTAAATCACCTGGGATGGAGTAAAATGCTACAGAAATAGATGGCTCTTGTAAAGGTGTCTAGAATTGCGGAAGCAGGTCTTGGCTGCCAGAGAAGAACTCTGTCAATTCACAGGCTCCAGGGAGAGACAGGTGGGAGGCAAGGTAGGCCGCAGTCCTTACAAACTTGAAGATTTAATGATAGTCTTCACAGGTCATCACTGTTGAGAATTTGGATATCTCTTTAAAAAAGTTACTCAACCGTCATTACTGACACCGACAGTCTCATTATATTGGAGGAATGGATTGATTTTCCCCCAAAGCTGTGAGCACTCCTTCCTTCATAGCCCTGGAAAGCCTTCCCCTGCTGCTAATAGCTTGCAAGCTCTCCAGGAGAGACATCCCAGCATTAAGCAGACCCAGAGGGGTGATTGGAAGCAAGGGGTCACCTTCATATAAAATTTGACTCTGGCTGTGAAAGTGAAAAAATCTTTTCAAAAGGAAACCTACATGTATTCTATAGGGGGGGAAAATCTTTAAATCCAAAGTCAGATACTGAGGTTAAAGGTAGTTAGGCACTGACTGCACTAACTAGCCCATAGGCCCTCAGGGGCAGCAGGAAAGGCTCTGATGGCTCATGGAGCCATGGGGAGAGCCAGGGCTGGGGTGCTGTGCACATGCTGCTCTGCCTTGCTGCCCAGGACCGTGGGACCCTGTGATGGCTCCATCACACAGTGCAGTAAGATCTTTGTAAGATTGTGTAACTGTCACTTCACTTTCTCAGAGGTACTTATTGTGGGTCACCTCCCTCCACCAAACAAGAAAAGTAGCACTTAGTACAGAACATCCACGTAATAGGAGATTCCACCAAGCCCCGCTTACTGTGGTCCTGTTTTGGTACGGCCCACGTGCAGTGCAAGAAAGGGGTTGCTTGCATTCTTTGTGAGCTGTTGTGATGAGCTCTGAAGTCCATCTCCTTTCCAAGGCAGGGAAAGTGAGCCGCTGGGCTTCTTGTTATAGTGAGAAAACGTCACCATCAGATCTGGATTGGAAATCTGTCCCTGGTCCCTACTAGTTGTGTCACCTTAAGAAAGTTCTTTCACATGCTGAAGCCTTACTTTTTCACCTTGAGAAGGACCATATCCCCACTTCTAAGGACTCAGTGAGTGGTCTCTATGGTGTGGCCACCCGACTCCTTGAGGTCTGCTGTCTCGGGGTTTCAAGGGCCCAGTGGTTCCAATCTCCTGGGTGGGACAGCCGCCTTCTGCCTGATCGGTCACCACAGTGGCCCCAGCATGCGGGAGGCGGAGGGTCGTCTCCCCGGCCCTGCCTGGGGTTGCGTCTATGCCACGGCTCTCCCCACAGGATCCGAGTGGGCTGCCACAAGCTCATCAACCACCACATCTTCACCAACCTCATCCTTGTCTTCATCATGCTGAGCAGCGCTGCCCTGGCGGCTGAGGACCCTATCCGCAGCCACTCCTTCCGGAACACTGTAAGCCCCCCAGCGAGGTCAGCAGGGCGGGGCTCCTGGGGGTCAGTTCTGGGCTCTCAGGCAGAGGCTGTGGTCCAGGCAGGACCTGCAGGGGCCACGAGGGTAAAAGCTGGAGTAGACCTCTCATTCACCTTCAGGCCTTTTATGTTTCAGGTTTGTAAGTGCCAGACAGCTTTTGTTTAATGGACACAAACCTTCATGGACTCATGCATGTTACACTTCATTTTAAATACTCTGCAGTAACTTAGTGTATTCAGGGACTGTGCCTCTCTGCCTCCCTGTTCCTTGTTGCCAGTGTTTTGGTCCTTCTTTTCCCCTCCCTGGTCAAATTCACACGCACACCTATTTCGAGATTTCTGCCTGGTGGCAGCATCCAGCAGGAGAGAAAGTAAAATTGAAACCAAGGGTATCACATGCCCAGGAGCTCTTATTTAGGGTTGGCGGGAAGACTTCTCTTACATGGATTTAGATTCCCAAAGCCACATGGCTCCATTACTAAGGAGAAATACAAGTTTGGGAGGTGACAGGTGTAGGACTGAGGGGTTCAGCAGAGAAGAACTATGTTTTGGAGGGGCAGGAGGTGACTTGACACAGAAAACAAGCAGAGCGTTTAGTCTTCTATCATTAATCAGTTTCATAGTTTAGGGATAGCACCCCTTCTAAGCGTCTATGCTGGGCAGAGACTGGTACCTAAATTAGTTCCTGCCTGAGCAGTTCAGCCTCGGCAGGTCAGCTCACTCAGCACTGAGAACAATCAGAGGCAAGGCAGCTTCAGAGGACAGTAGCCTGTTGCCTCTCCAGTCTTGACCGTAGTGCAGTTCCAGATGATCACCAAGAAACCCGCCCAGGGAGGGAGGCCTGTGAGTGTGCGAGGCTGTCAGCTGTCACTGCCTTGCCTGGTCGGTACTTCTTTCTGTACAAGAGATTTTTAGAAGTGTGAGGATTTGGACAAATCACTAGATCATTGCCCCCCCCCCCCCACCGCCCAATTCCGATTGTGACGACGACACCCCGTGTTCTTTCCATTTCCTGTGCTCTTGGTTTGATGCCTGGCAGACTCAGCCTGTCAGACTGAAGGAGCATGGGCACTCTGGTTTGAAGATGAAAAGATCTTTCCCTCAAAACATGTGATGGTATAAAGATGAAGGCCCTGAGCCTGTCTTAACCTGTATTCACAGGTTAGGGCTTTTGTTAGAGATCCCCGAGGCTGTCTCCTTCTAAGTGCTCAGAAAGAGCAAAGACCTCTGTGTTGTCAAGTCCACCATAAAAAGAAGCCCCCAGCCGGAAACACTGTTTAGGAAGAAATACTGTTCTGTGACAGACTAGGTCCGGAGCCAGTCCTCGAACACAGATTATCGAAGAATTAATTTAGATGGGGGCCTCATGTTCTAAATTTTTATTGTAATTATTTCCCCATGAGTTTACTTCCCTGCTTCTTTTCCCAAGAATGTTACTGTCCTTTTTTAATAGACGTGTGTGTGTGTTGCTTTTAAAATACCAGTGTTTTTATTCGACTGTGGTAAGAACTCTTAACACAAGAGCTTCCCAAACAAATTTTTAAGCACACAAGACAGTATTTTTAACGCTGGGCACCACGTTGTACAGATCTCCAGCTCTTACTCATATGACGGAAACTATCCCTGCTGAACAGCAGCTCCCCACGTCCACCTCCCCCAGCCCCTGACAAGCACCATCCTGCTTTCTGCCTGTGAGTTTGACCACTTTGGATACTTAATAAGACTGGAATCGTGCAGTGTTTTGTTGTTGGTGGTGGTGGTGTTTTTTTTTTTTTTAAACTTTAGCTGAGTTACTAGTGAAAAAGAGAAAGGAGGCAGAGTGAAGAAGGAACAACCTGAATGCAAGAGCTTTGCCCGTGGGTACCAGGCTGAGTTGACTTGTTGGCAGCCGAGTCTTTCTTGGCTGCCCACGTGCTTTCCGCATTCACAGCTCTGCCGTGACTGAGGAGGGGCAGGGTCCCCCGTGGACAGCCTTGTTAGTGCCCTTGGAGGTACTTTTCACTGCCTGACCACAAACAGAAATACACAGAAGTGTTCCAGTAAAATGTATACATCTGAAAATGGGAACAGTTTGGGAAACAAGTAATAGCCTCTGAGGAGAGAACTTCAGTGAGGAGGGCTGGCCTCTGAAGCAGAGGTCCTCGCCTTAGTGTAACAGCAGTCAGGGCTCACCTGGGGTGGGTCCCACATGTACACAGTGGGCCCATGGCTCCTGATGGCACCCCGCAGCCTGGCTCCCTGCTCAGCAGTGCTGACTGGTGCATGGCCTGAGCAGCTGCCCCTGTTCTCAGCGGCCACGTCTGTTAGATACACAGAATTGGCCTGGGTGGGCTCCCCGGGTTACCTTCCCTCGCTGATCTCTGCGGTTCCTCCAAACCACAGAGCACAGTTATTATGCAGATGAGCAGCCACCATGGCCTCTTCCACCAGCAGAGCTGCAGCTGCCGTCTTTGTGGCTGAGGGTTCCCTGTGAGCAGCCTTACTTGAGTCCACAAACTTGCTGTGGGCCTCCTGTCCTGCCCACCTGCACCCATGGTTCTGAGTAGAAGCAGGGACCCCAGAAGGGGTTAGCTGAACTCTGCTGGTTGGAAAGTAGATGGTACTTAGGAGTGCTGATGAAGTGGCCTGGACTGATCATTCAGAAGCCAGGTCAGTCTTTTCTTTGAGTGGGCCCAGCAAGGGAAAAACCAGCCTGGAGGCAGAACAGTGTTAGATGCGCAGCGGTGCACAGGCAGAGGCCGATAAATGAAAGCCGCCCTCACAGGTTTACCCAGCCTGGCCCATCGGCGGCGGAAGAGTGTTTGCTCCCTGATGGAATGAGCTGGAATTGGAGGGGCAGGCAGCCTGTTTGATGCCACTACGTCTTTGTTTACATTTGCCCTCCAACCTGAAGCTCAGCTGAATGACAACATATTTCATTCAGCCAACAAGGCAGTTCAAAAGCTAAAATGTGTGTGAGACCAGTTTACCCAGTGCCACATGTAACTCTGTATAGTCACAGAGTATAGTGTGCTGATAAGCAAAGGTTGTTAGTAAAGTACTTTTTAAGTGATCCTCTCTCTGGCCAAGACATGAGACTGGCGGGAGCGGGGAGGTTCAGCACGAGTGGTCACAGGAGGTAAGTATCCCCAAAGCTCTTATTGGTTACAAAGATGAGCTGTAACTGGACGGGGTGGGGCACTTTGAGCGTCTCTGCACTTCCCTCCAGGGTGGCAGGCTCATCTGGGGAGAATGGGTCTCAGATCACGGATGGGGGTTCTCCCCATGGGCGCGGAGCTGTCGGGGTTTGTCTGGATGCCTTTTTCTCATCTCCCGTGTTGTGCCTTGCAGATACTGGGTTACTTTGACTATGCTTTCACAGCCATCTTTACTGTTGAAATCCTATTGAAGGTAATGGCTTTTTCATTGATCCTCGCATATGCTAAAGCAGCCGTAGCAATAATGGTTGCAATTCTTTGTTTACCTTCCAGATGCTAGGTTATGCAGATTATGTCTTCACTGGTACTTTTGCATTTGAGATCATTTTGAAGGTAACACGTTCCACAGGAGTGTGTTTTAGGGGCCTGCTCCTATGTGTGACACACAGCCAAGACGTGTGACGTGCTTTTGGCCCTTTTCAGTTTTTGTCCTCTGTGATCAAGCTCCACTTTTTTTTTAACCAAAGAATTTTTTCTGTAACCATTCAACTTGGTTTTGCTGTTTCTTTTTAACCTTTGAATGCATGAGGGAGCTCCTTTGGCTTCCTAATAGCAATTGGAAATTCCTTTTTGCTCCATTTTTTTATATCCCCTGAATTTGTCAACTGGTAACAGGTACAACACTATGTGTGAACTTTCTTCCACCCTTCCTGACGTCAAAGTCAGAGGAAAAGCATTTCTTCGATGAAGGGGATGTCTCTCTTCTCATTTCTTTGGCTGCATTTTCAGTGCCCTAAAATAGTAACACACTATTTTCTTGCAAGAGGATATTTGCAAGACAGTGTTGGTCTCTTTGTGTTAAGATATTTTAATGGATGGGCTTACATTTGCTCAACGAGAAGAGCTCCCTTTGGGCAGGGCTCCCGGAATGTACTGCCCATGCATGAGCTACGCGTTGCCACTGCTGCATGTGGTTTGTGTACTGGTTGTGAAGGCCACCTTGGGGTGAGCTCATTCCAATGTACTCCGAGGTCTGGAGACCCGCAGCAGAGAGCCCAGAACCCCCAGACTTGCTAAGAGGTGGGCATCGCAGCAGCCCTGGGACAGTGTGGCCTCTGACAACTGTCAGAGCACTCATCTCCTAGTGGGGAGGCAAGCTGGGAAATGAAGGCTTTGAACCACATTTTTTTAAAACCATTTTGGGTTTTTTGTGTGTGCATCTCAGGAAAAGAATGTATTTTATGTTAGACTACTGTGGAACTTGGGCTCTTTACAAACTCTTCTATAAAATGAAACCTCAGTTAACATTCCAGGCAATAGAGTATTTAGTTATTTTCTTTCTTTTTTTTTGTTAGTGAAAATATTAGCACAAAACCAACCAACACCTCTTTAAACCCCTGTTAAAAATCTTCTAAATATTTGAGTTCATTTTCTTGCCTTTTTTGCCAGTAAACTTGGTTAACAGTTGTCCTAAGTGAGATGTGTGCCTGGGCTAGTGAGCGGATTCTAGCACCTCTCCGTGGCACGGGGCATCGATGCAGAAGGCACAGGGCGTGGGGTGCAAGGACCCTCGCCTGGCCTCTGCTGGATCCTGAGCTGCCTCTTTCTCCACTCTCCCCCCTTTTTTTTCCTTTGTAATTTGCCTTCTCCTCTAACTGAATAGAAAAATGTTCTACTTAACCTGTTAGCCTGGTTAATTGAGGTTTTATTTTACTTTCCACATTTTTAAGTTGTTCAATGAATATAGTTACTGTTGGGCTTCAGAGTTTTCCTTTGTTTAAAAGAAAAAACCCATGTTGCTGCTTTTCAATTTCTGTATATTTGTCTCAGTGACTTAAATCTTTGAAGTCAGTCTTCATTTTGAAGGTATCTTGGAGAACAGAAAATAAGCTAAAATAAGGATTCAGAAAGTGGGAGGTTCTCCAAGAAGTAGCTGACATCTGAAAGGGTGGTTCCTGGTGGCCTGGGGAAGATTTGGGAGGCTGTTTGGTTACTAGGTTAAACCATTTGAAGTGGCCTTTTTTATGTGTTAAAAAGGGTTAATTAAGTATTGGCAGATACATATGGTCCAGGGTAATTAGTTCCTGGCTCTGCATCTCTTCTCTTATACTTATCTGAGCCTTTACCCATTTTTTTTTAATAAGCAGTGAACTTCATGTTTTAGAGTGTTTAGAGCACTTCTTTACTAAACTCCTTTTCCAGAGTTGCCCGCAGTGGTGTCCGGGCACACAGGGCTGTGACTTTGAGAGCGGTGAGGCTCACATGGCGAGGCCAGGGGACGGCTTCCTAGCCACAGCTGGCACGTGCTAGAGCAGCTGGGCTTCAAGGAGCTTTTTATGGCTGTATCACCAAGGACCATTATCAGCAGTAAGGGGCCTGGAGAAGTGATTCAAGTTTCTATGTCAGCAGAGCGTGGGAGCCCGGGACTCCAGTGCATCTTCTAGCCCCAGCTAAGAGGCCTGGATGGGAACAGTGTGAGCTCTCCAGGGGTCTCCGAGGGGCCAGAACCAGCATTTTACCATGACAAACCTGGTCACATGAACTCTTTCCTGAGACAGAGCCTTAGGACATGCCAATGATATATTCATACTTGAAATGTGTCATCGCTGTAACGAAGTCTACATTGGTCTCTTCTTTTAAAATGTATTGGAAATGAGCTGCCTTTTTTCATTTTTGAACAAAGCATTCAGTTGCTCTGCCTTGTTGGTTTACATTTCTGGCACACTTGTTCATAAAGTCATATTTTGCTCAAGATTTTGTAAAGAGCCCAGGTTTCATTTTCTCTGGAGAGAAAAAAAAACAGTAAATTCCTCATGTTTCTGCTTCTAGATGACAACTTTTGGAGCTTTCCTCCACAAAGGGGCTTTCTGCAGGAACTACTTCAACTTACTGGATATGCTGGTTGTTGGGGTGTCTCTGGTGTCATTTGGGATCCAGTAAGTATTCTGGGGGGGGTGTACACAGGACCGTTGGGCAGGACGGTCTCTGCGGGGAACTTTAACATAATGCATAAAGCCTTGGCATTGTTTTAATGATGACACTCCGCTATCTGGGAAAGCTTAGTTAGTGCCCATGTCAGAAAGCATTGGGACAGCTCCTGCATTTTTGTGGTTCTGTTTTTCTTTTCATGCCCTCTGTTGGGTTGGGCTCAATACTCTGTGATATTTGCTTTCAACAGAGGGTGAAAGATGTCTTGACTAGGAGGGAGAGCAGCTGGGCTGTATTCTGGATTCTCCAGGGGCTGGCCCAGGGCCTGGGAGCCGGGGATCCTCTCCCAGAGTCTCAGTTCCCCATCTAGGAGGGTTAGGACTAGGTGGCCTCTCAGACCAGCTTGGATATTGAAGGCTTTCCTTTATCTCCAGGATAGATCAGCTGCTATGACCCTTTTCTTTTGGCCTCTACAGTTTTCATCTAGGAGGGGCCAAAGCTGCAAGTCAGAGCCCCAGGGCCTCTCCATGGCCTTGTGGGATTTCTGGTGGGGAGTAGCCTGAGCTGCACACTGCCTGCCTGCTGTACACGGGGGTTTGGGGCAGAGGCTCCAATGGGAGTGTCCAGGGGTGGCCTTGCTTTCCTGCTGACTTTGAAGCACCTCTGCTTAGGTGCTGACCATCAGTAGCCCCCATATGAGAGTGTGGGTACGTACATGACCTCTGAGCTAAAGGTGAAGGAGAGACTCTGTCCCCCTCAGAAGACCAAGGACCCCTGCCTGAAACTGCCCTATGTGCTCATCTTCATCCTCGCCTCCCATCATTGCCTGGTGGGAGGGAGCCACATAGTCACAACTTGGAAAGACATTCTCACTAGTGTTTTTGCAACTCCTCTAAGCTCCCAGCTGTGCCTACAGCCTCCAGCTGCTGCCCAGTCCACTGCCTCCCAGGCATGTGCTTGGGCCGCACTCAGCCACTTGCCACTACATGAGCCGCAGCTTCCAATCTAGGGCCTTCGCAGGTGCTGCCCCCTCAGCTGGAGCCCCTTCCCCCTTTGTCTAGCTAAATCCCACTCCCCCCCTGGGATTCACCTGGACATCACTTCCAGGGAGCCATCCCGGACTCCCTAAGGCATGGTCCCCTGGCATCACAGACCACCTTCCCTCTGTTGTCACACCCACATGCTGGGTTACAGCCCCATCTCTCCTACCAAAGAGTGGACTCTTAGGCCAGAGAAGCCCGGCACCAGGGCACTGCAGCAGGCCTCCAAGCAGAAAGCCAAACCAACACAGCTGAAGCCTAGAAGCCGAGTGCTACCTGGTGTTCACATCAGGTGGGAGCCATGGGAGAGATGAGCTCCACTCCCACATGGTGCATAGTCCATATTAAAGTGAAATTATCTCCAAGTATTTTCTCCCATTATAATACATCCTGCTTTCTTGCTTTCCTCTGTTCTTTCCCTTAGATCCAGTGCCATCTCTGTTGTGAAGATTCTGAGGGTCTTAAGGGTCCTGAGGCCACTCAGGGCAATCAACAGAGCAAAAGGACTTAAGGTTTGGATTCCTCTCTGGGTTGGGTGGGCTTTGGTTGGGGTTAGCTGTCCTCACTGACCTCTCTGGACTGGGGCTGGGCTGAGGCCTGATGGATTTTCAAGTGGGTTATACATTTGAAAAGGACATTTCTGGGAGGGCATAGCTCAGTAATAGAGTGCATGCTTAGCAAGCACAAGATCCTGGGTTCAATCCCCAGCGCCTCCATTAAAATAAATAAATAAACCTAATTACCTCATCCCACCCCAAAACAAACAAAAGTAGCCTGAACATGGTAGATTAATTAAACCAGGTTATTAAAAAAAGAAAAAGGAAAGGACATTTCTGACCAACAAAGCTGCCTCTGCCAAGTGCTGGTAGCATTTTTTAAGTTATTATTTGTTTTTGTTAATTTATTTTTCTTTATTTGATTACTATTTATTACTTTTTTCATTATTAATAATTTTTAGCCTTTAAATCTGTTCTCATGCAGTTCATATGGAAGGCCAGAGGGTTTGGCACTTCTTCTGACTAAGCTCACTGCTTTAGAGGACACCAAGGAGGGGCTGCTAACAGGGCATTCCTCCCCGGTGGCCACAGCGCACTGGGGGCAGCTCCCCACAGATAGCTACCTGAAAGAGGAAGCACAGGGAACTGCCAAGTTGGAAAATCATATAAAAATGCCCTTAAACATAGAAAATCCTGGCTGGTATTAGCTCACCCTGTGGCTAAAACAACACAGACAATTAACACTCCCCTGTACCCTCCCTGCCCCATCTCCCCAGCACGTTGTCCAGTGCGTCTTTGTGGCCATCCGGACAATTGGCAACATCATGATCGTCACCACCCTGCTCCAGTTCATGTTCGCCTGCATTGGGGTTCAGCTGTTCAAGGTACTGGGAGGGCCTTCATGCTCAGATCCCATCTCCTCCTGTAGAGGAAGCCTGCGTTTGACAGTGTGTGTGTTTTGTACCCAGGGAAAGTTCTATCGCTGTACCGACGAAGCCAAAAGTAACCCTGAAGAATGCAGGTGAGCGTTCTGAATGCAGGAGTGGGGAATTTGGAGGGACAGACAGAAAGCTTCAAGAATTTGCTCGTCCCAGTGTTCTAGGAGTTGTCGTCGTGGACGATAAGAGGCCTGAGTGCTCACCTCACGGCTGAGAGGTGGAGAGGTTTTGTTTGGAGGTGAAATTCACCTAACAAAATTAATCATTTTAAACTGTGCAGTTCGGTGGCATTTCGTGCAGTCACGTTGTGGTGCAAGCACCACCTCTATCTAGTTCCAAAGCTTTTCATCATCCTAAAAGAATGGACAGATGGCTTCTGATGTTTGGTATAGAGTCAGTAAACTGGTGGGGGGGCACTAAAACTTAAAATAACATTATGAGACGCCCCAGAAAACTCTTCTCACAGACATGTGGATAACTTTTTCCCCAAGCCAGAACTCGAAGCATAATTTCCTGGTGTTCAGGAGCTGGCTGCCCTCTTCTGACAGGTCCCTGGCTACTTCTTCCCTTGCTCCCATCACCCACATTTAGGCCATGTTTCTATTCACAAGAACAGGAAGAGGAGAAAACAGGTGGGAAATAGTCACTCTTATCCCAACCCATCCAGAAGACTATGAAGACAGATCAGAAACCACTGCCTGAAGTTCTGAGACTGTGCAGAAGTCCCCGTGTCCCTGCCCTTTTGTGATGTCCCTAGTCAAGGCCTGGCACTGCTTGTGTTCGTTTGGGGTTTCTTCTCAGCAGAAGGTGCCGTCAGAGAGCACCAGTTGCCACGTAACTGTGACCGTGTACCTCCGGGGGCACTGTTCTCACTGTGGGTGAGGGTGGCCCCCGGAGGGGACAGCACAGCAGTCGTGTGAAGATGCCTCCCCTTCCCTCCCTACGTCGGCTTCCTCATCTGTGAAACAGAGACATTGGAATCCTTCCAGAAAGGAAATTCTGTGAGCGGTCTGGTGTGCCAACCATTACAGAGTTCTTTTGGAAAGAAAAGTGGGAATATTGTTAGTGTAAGAGAGGAATTTGATTAAAACTAAAATGCAGACAAGAAGGTTCCTGGGCTTGTTTCCCAGAGCTTGTGGAATTCTCCACGGCCAAAGCGTTTGGGTCTTCATTGCACACTTGGAGCCCGTTGTATGAGAGATGGGTCTTGTTGGCTAGTTTTCATTTGTGATCAGGCACATGCTGGGTGTCTGCCTGGTCACTGTGGAGAATACTCATGTAACTAACCATTGCTTGGCATTTATTTGAACCGTGGAGTAGATTAAATGCAGGGCAAGATATGGAGAAATGCAGCCTATGAACCAGTGAACCAAGCATGACCATGATGCCTGGGGGAGGGACTGGGCAGGGCGACCAATTCCATGTTCAGCTGGGGTGACCCCCACTTCCTTTCCTCTCTAGGGGGCTCTTCATCCTCTACAAGGATGGAGATGTGGATAACCCTGTGGTCCGTGAGAGGATCTGGCAGAACAGTGATTTCAACTTTGACAACGTCCTCTCGGCCATGATGGCTCTGTTCACAGTCTCCACGTTTGAGGGCTGGCCCGCGTGAGTACTGGGATCTCACAGCTTTGCCGCCACTCTGGGCTCAGCCGGCTCTCCTGCAGCGAGTCCTGCTGCCTTTCTCCACTTCTGCTGGCCTTTTCTATGACTTGCTAACTTTGGGCTACTTTTCAGTCATTTCCGGGCCCAGGAGGCTCCTCTGTCTAATTAGGCAAATGACTGACCTCTGTGGCCAGCTGCCGGGGCTCTCGGATTTGAGAAGCAGGGGTGGGGTAGATCCCAGGTGGTGGCGCATCTCAGCTGGCTCCTAGGGAACGTCCCTGGAAGGGAATGGGGAGACCTGAGAGGCATTTTTCGTGTCAGTTCCTGTGTAGCCACATCGGTAAAACTGCCCTTACGCTGTTCCTAAAGAGGGCCGTGACAGTGTCCCAGATGGTTAGTTCATTGATTTATTCATTTCTCACACTAATATGAGTCATTGTGCCCTGTCTTTCACTGACGTACTCACTTGCTCCTTCGTAAAATGTGCTTTTGAGACCAGCTCCATGCAACATGTGGAAGGAACAGAGCTGTCCTGACGTGGTTTGCCCTTTCAAAGCCCTTATCTAGTCAGTGTCTGGCAGCCAAGCCAGGCAGGAGGGTCCTGGTGCATCAGAGACATGCAGCACAGGGTCCTGAGGAATGGCTAGGATTTTGTGGATAAAGTCAGAAAAACTGAAAGATGGAAGAAGACAGGGTACAGAAGGAGAGTCTCTTACATTTTTATTATTCCCTGCTCTCTGATAGCCCACCGACTCCTGCTACTAGAACACGTATACATAGATGCAGTTCTGAATGTCAAGTTCTCGTGCTCAGAAGAACTGCAGAAGGTGGCCAGGCTGGCAGGACTCTCTGGGTGCATGGGGTGTCTAGAGTCCTGCAGACTGAAAGGACAGTTGGGTGGGGCTTGTTCATTAGGGAATTTATCTTGGGAGAAGAGGAGGATAGAGTGAGAGCCTACATTCTACAGAGCCACGGGCTCTAGTCTCAGATTTTAAGCACTGCACTGTAGCAGATGTGGGTGGCCACTGCCACCAGGGATAGCAGTAACATGAACAAACCTGGGACTTGGGGCTCAGATGAGTTGATCCCAACTTCCAGCTCTGCCCCCAGGACCGTGACCTTGGGCACTTGGGTCTCTCTCTGAATTTCCTTTAGATGGGGATGACAGCCTTTCCAGATGGATGTGAAAGTGTCTAGCACAGTGCATCCTTGGGGGCAGGTGCCTGAGAAAGGCTGAATCTGCATCAGAATGGGGGTAAATTGAATTGGAGGCTGTTAGAGTAATTTCCCTTCTTCCTGTTCAGAGTTCTCCTTGGCATATATTAATTTTAGTGCACATTTCAGTCTGGGGATCCTCTCTTAGTTCTTTGGAATTACTCTGGCTGTCCTGTTTACAGCTTTCAGTTCTGCCAGTGTCTTCCACATGATGTTCCTCCTTCATTCTATCTGTGAATAGAAAGGAACATTATTGAATATTTGTAAAGTCTTTTGCAGTCCTCAGAGCAATCAGTCAACAAATATATCCCAGGTGCTCACTCCTCAAGGTGCTGGGCATGCTGGCCTAATGCTAAGGAGGCTTCCTGAGAGACTGCTCTGTGTCCAGGGACCTTGGGGTGGGCACTGACGGTCATTGCCCCCAAGGTGTTGGGAAGAGGGACACCTGCAAAGGCAGTGGGGCTGAGCTGCTGGGGCCGAGCGGTTGGCGGTGCTCACTGGGCACTTGTGCTCCCCAGGTTGCTGTACAGAGCCATCGACTCGAACGGAGAGAACGTCGGCCCCATCTACAACTACCGCGTGGAGATCTCCATCTTCTTCATCATCTACATCATCATCGTAGCGTTCTTCATGATGAACATCTTTGTGGGCTTCGTCATCGTCACTTTTCAGGAGCAGGGGGAGAAAGAGTATAAGAACTGTGAGCTGGACAAAAATCAGGTTAAAGTCACACACTGTTTGGGCTTCCATCCCTTGAGCAAGAGAGGACTGATTTCTCTTTTGATGACTTTCCCCTGGGCAGAGAGGGGCGCCCACCTGCTGTCTGTCCCTGGGCTTGGCTTCCCGTTCAGAGCATGCATTCAGCCGGTTTGAGTCATTAGTGTTGAAGGTTAGTTTCCCAGATGCAGATTAGAGTGTAATTTTGAAATTTACCCGCAGACTTGTAGGTGAGAAGTCAGAAGGCTGCCTTCTGTGGTCATGACCCACTAGTGGCAGCTCAGAATCATGTAGGGTGGTGTGGCTTGGGTCCAGAAAGCACTCACTGACAAGCACACAGTCCCTACTGAGGGAGTCTTTTATCTGGACTGTTGACATTTGAGGCTGGATAATTCTTTGTTGCGCTCTGTGTGCTGTACAGGATGTTTAGCAGCATCCCTGGCCTCTACCCACTAGATTCCAGTAGTACCTTCTGCCCTCCCTCACCCACCATTCCCGTGCCATTTCCAGTGACAACCAAAAACATTTCCAGACATTGTCAGATGTCCCTAGTTGAGAACCATTGACCTAGGAGGAAGTACCCCATCACACCATAGGGAAAGTTGCTAAATTTAAACTCAGGTCTAAGATTACACTGGCATCACTCTCTCTTGACCTAGCACCCCTTTTTTAACCAATCTGATAGAAGCAAGGCCTTTGGCTCTGATTGTGTGATGATGTGAGAGAGCCAGGAGACCTGCGTTCTACCTGCACTTACTCTGTGACTGAGGGTGCATCCCTGCTCCTCTCTGGGCCTGCTCCCTTATCTCTAAACCAAGGATATTAAGGAGTTACTCTTAGAGGTCCCTTTCAACTCTAAAATGTTGTCTCTGAGATGGAGATTGTGTTCTGGGCGTTTCCCCCGGTCCTCTATCAGAAGCCATCTCTGTTTGGTGATGACTTAGTGAGCAAGAATCATCAGGCAGCTCAGGCTTCCTGCAGGGAAGTGGCCGTGCCTGGTGAGGCCGTCTCTCTGGTGTGGCTGTGAACCCACTGGGGGAAGCATGAGGACAGCACCTAGTTTGTTTGTAGGAAGATGTTGCTGTGAGTTGTGAGGGCGTCCCTGCAGATCCATCCACGTCAGTCTGAGGGAGGCCTGGCCCAGCTGTTCCCATCCCCTCACCCCTGCCGAGGAAGAAGAGTGTCAGGCCCAGGCCCAGGCCAGCCAGGCAGCACCAGAGCTGAAACTAGGTCACCACCCGAGGTCCAGAACAAGCTCCTGTCAGGGGTCCCTAGAGTCAGCCTGTGAGGTCACAGCAGGGCCAGGTCCTGGACAGAGAGAACCTATCTGAAGTCAGAGCCAAAGCAGGAGAACAGGGTTCAGGCTGGACCTAAGAGCAGGTAGGGCCTGATACTGAGCTGAGCTGAGGGCTCCTGGGGCTGGAGGCTCCCTCTGGGCTTTGCCATAATGGGTGGCCCAGTCTCAGCTGCAGCGAGAGGAGGCAGGGCGGTGCTCTGCCATCATCATGGACCACGTCCTGGGGATTCTGATGTGAACACTACAAGCTCCCAAGTCTCAAAAGCCCCCAGATGGACACACAGGTGCCTCCCCACTAGACACCCAGGGTTAACATGCTCTGGCTCCTGAGAGGCGTCTCGTGTGGTTCCATCCTGGAGCAGCCAGGGACCTCCAGTCTCAGAGTCAGCCCAGTTCCTCTGGTTCTTGAGAATTTCTGTGCCTCTCACCAGGGGCTCTTTTCCGTGATGCCCAGTGGTCCCTGTGGAGGGTGCTATGGCCATTTCCACCTTGTCCTTGGTCCCTCCCAATAGATGTGCACCAGCTCTTGGAGGGCAGTCAAGAACTGTGTCCTTCTTCCATAGACATGCTCAGGACCCCCGTTTCTCTTTTCTGCCATTGCAGCGTCAGTGTGTTGAATACGCCTTGAAAGCTCGTCCCTTGCGGAGATACATCCCCAAAAACCCCTACCAGTACAAGTTCTGGTACGTGGTGAACTCCTCGCCTTTCGAATACATGATGTTTGTCCTCATCATGCTCAACACACTCTGCTTGGCCATGCAGGTAAAAATGGAGACAGCCACGAGGATCACGTCTGGGCCTTGGGCGCCGCTCCATGCCCCAAATTCTGAGGGTGGAGTGCACTCCCTCACCAGAGGAAGGGTTTGATTTTCTGATGAGTCTGGGCTGTAGTTTGGCCAGAGTCCCATTCTGGCTAACAGTTGCCACGGCAGGAGTTTGCAGTCTCTCTTTTGCATAAGAGACTGACTGTATAATGTGACTGTAAGCAACATTTACACGGAGCCCAAGCATGGCGTTCAGTTGTGTAAACCTCGGCTGAGGGCCTCCTGTGGCCAGGGAGCAGTGGAGGGCTGAAGCTCTGTCTGTGTGGAGTTGGACAGACAGGGATTTCAATCCTGGCTTGACTCCTTACCAGCTGGGTGATCTGGGGAAAGTTATATCCCCTGAGCCTGGCTTTTTTTTATTGGTTAAATGGGAACTCTGTCACACCTACCTCAGAAACAGAGTTTGCCAGGTCATTCGTGTCAGGCCCTTTGCTCTGGGCCTGTCACAGAGTGACGTTCTGTCCTCAAGTCGCTGTCAGTACGGCGGTGGGAACTCATCCAGTCCGTGGGATACTGGGTCTGACCTGCATCACAGCTACTCTTTGCTCGCCCTGGAGGCAAGGAATACAGCTCAACTCACTTGGCTGTGTTGGGGCACATGGAGGTATTAATAACCGCGGACGTTTCCAGCACTCACGTTGTCTAGTGGATGTTGCATTGGGACAAGAGAGACCAAGGTCTAGATTCATTTTCCCACTGACTTGAAGAATTTGAGCAAATCAAACCAACTCCCAGTGCTGTCTGGAAAATGTATCTAAAGACACCCAAGGATACATTTTCTGGCCCTTGCCTTAAATTTTAGAATTCTTTACGAATGAGAAGGCCCATGTGCTGATGTAGGGAAAAGTGTGAAGTCAGGATAATACTGACTTTGATGGAACATAAGCCTGAATGGGATAAAATGTATCCCTAACCAAACCTTCCCTTTAGTTACAGACTGTGGGTGTGCTCTGCATTGTGCCTGGGCCGAGGCCCTGAACATAAGTCCTGCCGGAAGAAAGGGTGGATTCCCTTTGTCCCGAGCAGAGGAAATGGATGTCTTTCCCCTTCATCGTTCAATCACCCTCATCTTGTCAAGGCCTTCCTGCGCTTTGTGGGGCATTAGCCGTGTGCCCTCGCAGTGTCAGTGACATCACTGGGAGTGGGTGCTGGCCCGTGGGGTTGCCTCCGTGTCCAAGTGAAGGACGGACGCCTGCAGTGGGTAAAGGGCTGGGGCGCCTCCTTTTGCAAGTCAGGAACGTGCCTCTGAGAACTGTGCCTCTGTCTTCATCCACACAGCACTACGAGCAGTCCAAGATGTTTAATGACGCCATGGACATCCTGAACATGGTCTTCACTGGGGTTTTCACTGTCGAGATGGTTTTGAAAGTCATTGCTTTTAAACCCAAGGTGAGTTGCTGAACCCACTTTTCAAAGGCTGTTGCTGAATCACCCCAGAGAAGCACCCACTTCCTGTCAGTCTTGGGTTGCTGAACTGTGCTGAATTGTTCTGGCCGTTAACTAAGTTATCACCTGAGAACTTGATTAAATCAGTTAAAATCTGATTAGGGCATCTATGTACATATGAGAAAATAAATCTGCAAAAACAAAACCTCATAAAAACAATTCTGAGAAAAAGAAGGGAAGAGAGAGTTGGGAATTTGTAGAATTGAGAGTGTTTTGAAACCTGATGTTCTGTTTCTCGAAGAGTGTTGTCATGCTATCTCATGGAAACTTGCGTCGTTACTCGAGCTCTAGAGAAGTCATCTTTATATAACCCCTCAGAGATAATTCAACCCTGCTTTTACTTTTAGATCTCCATCATAGAGACTGTGGTTTTATTTGTTCTTGGTCTACAGCATCTTTTTCACCTTTTATGGAAAATTCTGCCAGCTGCAGACCTCTCATGACCATACCATCTTTCGTTTGTTTAATTTAGAAAAATTTCACTTGACTTTAAGGCAAAACAAGACATGAGCCTTTTAAACTTTGTTGGACGGCTCAGCATATTATGTCTCCTTTAGTGGGGAGAGAATCCAGTCCCACAGTTGTCAATGTCTGTAGTGTAAGAGACAGATGGTACAGTGTCCAAGGGCACGCGTGGTTCCGAAACGAGACTGGATTCAAATTCCCAAGCAAGTTACTTAACTGTTCTGTGCCTCTATTTCCTCATCCATGAAATGAGGACACTAATAGCCCTATTTCATAGGGTGGCTTAGAGGAGTGAAGAGTCACCTTATGTGCCATACTTAGAAGAGTGCATGTCATGTAGCACCATGCTGTGGATGTGTCAGTACTGTTACTGTGACCACCACCATCATTGTCATCGAGTGATGATATTCCCATGTCCGAAACCCCAGGCAGAGAAGAAGCAAATCCAGGCTGAGCTGTGGGACCCTCAGTTTCTTTTCTAGCCAAGCCTCCATCTTTCAGAGTTAGAGAATTAGCGCAGTGACCCAGGTGTCTGTTCACTGGTGTGTAAGGTATCCAACAGCACTAATTGAAGTAAGACTTGGATTACGAAATGATGGTTTCACGTCCTCCATACTTGCGTGGAATTCTAATTCAGAACTGTTCCTTTCTTTAATTTGAATTAATTTCTATGCAATCTTTGTCAGGTCTTTGTGGACCAAAAAGAAAGGACACTTGTAAGTGATCGATCGAGGTGATTGCAGTGGGGTCAGATTTGGCACTTTTGCATGGCCAGATGCTGTATACTGTGACTTGTCCATATCTCCATCCAGACACATTTCCTCCCCTCCCAAACGCCTCTGAATTTCTTTTGAGATTTTGGTTTGCTTCCCCCTCCCCTTTCCGTCTTTGAACAGTATTTGTCGGGACTAATGGCAAGGTTGCCAAGTAAGAACATCACACTTGAGGTGTGACTCGGAACGTATCTGTGGAACATTTCCTAGGTCCGCTTGCCATTCCTTCCCCTGCCTGGTGATTAAGCCCTGAGAAGGCATGTGTGTGTGAGTCCTTGTGTGTCTGTGTGTGCCCTCCAGCAGCCCAGGTGTCAGTGGCTGTGCCCGATGAACCACTGATACCAAACCTGGGAGGAGAGTTGAGTGGCGTGTGAACAGACTGGTGGGGCCAAAGGGAAGTGAGTAGCTAATCTATAATCAGTACTGATCAATCAGAGTTTTAAAATGAGTGATTTCCGCTAGATGTGCCGCTTTGTGGTTTTCTTCCATGAGATATTTTCATAGCAGAAGACGTCCTCAGATGACAAGTGAGAGAAATTTTAAAACAGCAATAGCAGCATCTCTACGCTTGAGGGGCACTGTCGCTGTGTTTGCAAAGCAGAGAGATTTTATGCTGTTATTGTGTGTCTGGAGGAGTGGGAGTCATTTCACGGAGAAGCCAATCTCTTCTTAAAACTCTCCCTGACTGTCCTGTCTCATCTCCAGTGTCGGCAAACCACGGCCAGGCGAGTGGTCTTCCACAGAGCAGTCGGGGGGCAGTGGGGCTGAGGAACCGTGCAGCACAGGCGGCCGGAGCTCCGAGGGGATGGCCGCAGGGGCAGAGGGCTGGGAATTTGGCCCCTCAGTCTCATCTCAGGAAGTCTTTGTCTCTCGTGAGGAGCTCTGTCACGGGGTCCTTTGGGGCAGCATTCTCCACAGTGGGGGGCACACCTTCTGGGAGAGCTTGTCAGCATCTGTTAGGGGAGACGGGGGTGGCTGTTGTCTTGTAATACAAGTAGGAGAGTGAAGTTGGACAGAATCCTTCCTGGTGAGAAGGCATCACAGGAGCCCGGGTTCGAACAAGTGGAAGATGTTCCAACAATCCTGGCGATGCCTTCCATATTCGAGGGCCTGACAGGTAAATGGGGCCTCCTGAGAGAACACATTTAGAGGGATGTGGACTGAGGATGTGCAAGGTGAGGTCGTCCAGCCTGCCTAAGCAGGAATGGCTGAGGTAGGGGGACGGGAATAGGACACCTGAGCTGGGAGCTTCCCTGGTTGGGAAGGCAGGCTCACTCCAGGGGAAGAGTGTGGGTTGGACGAGTGTGGAAGGTGGTGAGAAGCCAGAGAGTCAAGGAGTGAGACCAAAGCAAGCAGGCTCTTTGGTGGGTAGTGTCATCTCCCCAGGGAAGGCCCACCCGTTGGACATGGACCTCATGCACTTGGAGTGACCGAGCCACCCTAGGATTTTAAAAGGTGGGCTGTGTTGTAGGTAAGAGACCAGCCCTGTTCCCCAGGCCTTCCCCTCCAGGACTCTCAAATGGCAGCCACTAGAGTTCTCCAATGAGTTCTTTTGCTCCAAGGAAGAAGATTGAAGAAGGGCCTTTCCCAAAGTGCTGGCTCCTGCAGGTATAAAGAGCACTTCTGATTTGCCTGAGGTCCACTCTCGTGCTTCCAGAAGGTGCCCATCGGATGTTGTGTCCAGCCCATATTGGAGGCCGCGTGCCCTGCCTTGGATGTGGGCTTTCCCCTGGGAGCCACACTTTGTTCCCAAATCTTAGACCTGAAAGCATTTTGATCTTGGTTCTACAGTTGGCCCTTGAACAACATGTGGGTCAGTCCAGGTATAACTTAAGAGTCACCCCTCTGTATCCAAGCTTCCTCTGTAACCACGGACCAGTGGCTGTGGTATTTACTGTTGAAAAATATCTTTATATCAGCGGACCTACACAGTTCAGCCCCGAGAGTCAACTATACTTTTAAAATGTCTAATTTACATGCCCAGCCACTTGAGCTTGGAAGAAGAGTTATCAGTTTTAAGGAAGGAAGAAAGTGGTTTAGTGCTGTCCTCATGCTTTTGGACAGGGTGGACATGCAGTGGGCACTGGATCATCCAGTCCCGTCAGCCTCTGAGGACAGCACTCCGTGCCCAGAGGCCCTGGCAGGAATGAGACTGCTTCAAAAGCCCCAGCAGCTTTCCTGGAGTACAGAGTTCCTAGAGTGACTAATGTTAATGCCGAATAACACCCGACAGCAGATATTTTTCTTCTCCTTAACTAGAACTTTATGCCAGACTCCTCCAGGGGCTCAGCCTGCCCCTTCCGTGTCGGGGTTTTCCCGGGCTCTCTCCTGGTCCCCTTCTCACCTGGTAAAAGGCCAGCATGCCTGGGGTGTTAGTGGCCAGCTCCACCTCGCCCCAGCCTGCACTGCCCTCCTCCCTCCTGAGCTGCTCTGATGGCTGAATCATCCCTGCCTCTAGCCTCAGCCTGCCTCCCTTCATCCCCCACACGCTCCCTTTGTAAACCCAAAGCTGACCGTGCCACCTATGGTGTGAAAGAAAAAAATCTGTAATTTCTTAATTGAATATTCAAAGTCCTGCACCAAACACTAGCCCACTTACATTTCTGCCTCACTGCTAGCCTCACTCTCCTGGCCATTCCTCCTCTCCACCATGTCCCCACTGCTGGCATGCTGGACCTTTCCTTGGCACAGGCTTCTATGTCTAAAGCCCTTTTTCCACCTTGTTACCCTTTAAGGCCTGTCAGGAATGTGGGCTTCTCCGTGACAGTGTCCCCCAGCCCAGCCAGGTCAGCTCTCCTCTCACATGTGCTTCTGTTAGATGCTCACGGTACGTTGTCGACATCAGGACCACCCTTGTCTCTCTCCATTAGGTGATGAGCAGCTGCTCAAGGTCACAGGTAGGGTTGTGTTTGTTTCACGCAATGCCTGCTACACGCTGGTTACTCAGTAAAAAGTGATGGAAGGAAGACAGGAGTGAAGGGATGAGCCTGTGAGTGTAGCCTCTTGGTATCAGATACTACCTGCTTTTCTGTCACAGATTTGGGCAGAGCAGAATGGCCAATTGTGAATGCATTTTCTTTTGAGCCTCCACTTGACCTTTGGAAAGGCTTATGCTGGTTAGAAAGCTGTCAATTACAGTTTCTGCCCAAAGTCGGCACTGTGGTCATCCATTGGGTCGAATGCTACCCAGGCAACCCCTGGAAGGAATTGGTAAGTGAGCTGACTGCCTCAGTGAACAGCAAGGTGCCGATCACTTGTCCAGATATCTTCAGACCTGCAGAGGTGAGAGACCCCAGGCAGCAGAAGGAACCTGGACTTGGGCTGCCTTTCTCATTTCCATTGCACAGACCTTGCCTCTTACTATGTGCCACGCCCACACTCTGTCCTGCTGGGGGTCCAGGCTCTGCTTCCAGGAGCCTGGAGTCAGGCGGGAGACCACGTTGATGACAGTCAGGATAGAGTTCTTAGAAGCAAGGGAGCTTCCTGGCCCCAAGCCCACATCAGTCTGGTTTATGATTTTAAATTTCTGGAGTCAGAAGTGTTTCTGAGTAATAGATGTTATTGCATGTGGCTGACTTGCTTGGTCCTTTCAAATGGGTGAGGCTGGCTCTGGCTGGGCTGGTAGGGACTGCTGGTTCCACTGAGGGGACCCAACTCAGCATTCAGTTGTAGGAGACCCTGCTGTCACCGGCCAAGAGGGGAGAGCATGGTGGAAGCCCTTGCCTCACCTTCTGGTTACCCAGACACTGCGGTGACTTTGTCAGCAAAGGTGGGGGGCTGAGTCATACTCACTTGACAGTGATTTTACTACATAGGCGGCTACTAAACAGGGAAACGAGATGTGGGAAGAAGGGGCGGGCTGGCATTTTCTGCCTCCCGTGGACCCCTGGCAGAGCCACCTGGTCAGAGCCTGTGACTCCAGCCACCTGCACCGACTGAAGCCTCCTGTCACCTAGATTAGTGGAGTCAGCTTTCAGTCGAGGAACCCTCAGGAATTTCGGCACAGTTTTGTGAGCGCAGTTGGATACTCTGGAGAGTGAGGATGAGATGATTGGAGAGTTCCAGGACCCCACACAGTGCATCAAGCCCTTGTCGTGCTAATTTAAAGTGACTTTCCACACCACAGTGGGCCAGGACTGGCCAGTTGGAGAATGGTTTGTAGGCTGATAGGAAGGACCCAAAGGTGAATACTGATAATTCTGCAGAGACAGAAGCAGAGAGAGAGAGGAGCTATTCAGGAACAAAATCTAAAGTAGGTGAGAGGGGCATTGAGTCCACAGTGAGTGGGCGCGGCCTCGGTAGATGGTGGATATCAAGAGGTGGAGCAGAGCACGTGGCGCAGCCGCGGGTGGGGCTGGCCGTGTGCCGGGACGGGAGAGGAGGGACACCGGGTCTGCCACCGCTCTGTACCCTGGAGCCCCAGTTACTGATGACCATGCATTTATAAGGCATCAGCTCCTGCCTAGAGGTGCAGGGAGGGATCACCAGGCTCTGGAGCCTTGGGTTGCTGTTAACCCACATAAAAAAGGTCAGGCCCTGCCCTCAGCAGTTGGGAGAATCTTACATTATTTAAGATGGAATTTGAAAAACAATCCCAAACCGTAAGTCAGTGTTATAGCTCCTCCGTAAACGCACTTGGGGTGATTAACAGTGACTAGAAGGAACATCCCAGTTACCAGAACAGCTAATGTGTCCTCGTTCTCTGCAGTGTAATAGAAGGCGGGGACTCCGCGGTGGCTTCCTCTGGGCCTGCACTGGATCACCAGTTCATGGGACCTGACACTTCAAAGGGCTTTCCGTTCTGGTTTTGAGCACCAAGTGTACCCAGTTGTAAGCACACTGGGCTCCGTTTTATGTAATTCAGACCTGAATTTTTATTTCCAAAACATGCTCCAACTTGTTGAAAAGATGCAGTTGAATTGCAGACAGAATCGTTGACCTTGCACCCAGAAGCCTCCGTGCTCCCCGCCTCCTACTCCAGTTGAGAGCTTCCTGGGGGGAATCAGGAGACAACAGGCACTGATTTAGCACCTACTGTACTGAGCCCAGAGGAGGACGTAAAATGTATGCCATGTATCTACAGATTTATAAGTCACAATCTTAGGGATGTTGTACCTTCAACGAGATATGAGAACCTGAAATAACAGGAACCAGGTACAGTTGAATGACAGGAGGGTGCAGGTTAGTGGAAGGAGGAGGCTTTGCCACAAGTCAAGCACTAACTGGGTTCATGGCTCTGGGCTAGGTGGTGGGATTAGTGGAGGAGGGGACAGAGCAGTCATCACGGTCCCCATCAGAGGGCTTTCTGCAGGATAGGCCAGCAGGCAAAGACCCCAAATTCAGACCTGAAAGAGATGCAGAGTCACCATGACAGTAAGTGCATCAGGAGCATCTGAAAAGGAGCCATCGGGGAATTGGCATTTGATTTGACCGTGAAGGAGGAAGTGGATTTGGGCAGATAGAGGCCTGGATTGCAGAGGCATCAGAAGGTGGGGAAGAACCTGGTGGTGGTTTTGAGGGATGGAAAGGTGTCCTCTTAGCCTGGAGGATGCAGAAGGAGGGGAGGAAAGCCAGAGCTGTGGTGGAAGGAGAGCGTGTAGGGTTTGGGCCTTCTTTGGAGGACAGTTGAGTGGCAGCATCGACCCTCAGTACTTCTTTCCCTGGGAGACCTGCCATGGCCTCCCTGCAGCGATCCCCAGGCCCCACACCCACCTCTGTGCCTCGGACCTCATGCATCGCTGTGCCTGTCTCCCTGTGAGCCGTTGCCACATGTCTGTGTCCCTTTAGACACAGAGCTCTGTGAGGACCACCTGCCACAGGGCACACCCTTTGCAATAGTTGCACTAGTGGACAGGAGGAAGGGATACTGGTTTGTTTCAAGGCCACAGAAGTGACAATGTGTGAAATGTCAACCACAGTGCTCTTAAAGTGGGAGAAGAGAAGAAAGTGGGGTGATTGGTGACCCTTCTCCATCATCCAGTGAGGGGTTGGGGTCATGACCCTGGGTGCCAGGGCACGGTCACCAAATGCCTCTCTCTGTCCTGCAGACACTCAGCTTGGTTCAGTGCTGTCCAGGACCGTGATCTGTGTGTGTGTGTGTGTGTGTGTGTGTGTGTGTGTACATACGTGTGTGCCCTCACACATGCAGGTGCCCCTGCCCCATGTCACTCTCCACTGGTGGCCAGTATCATCACTTCCCTTTGGCCCTTGAACCCCACTGGATTGCCGTGGGTGCCGTGGGGCCCAGGTGTGTCCCCACGTGGTCAGCATGGCGTCTCATTGCTATGTGCTCATAAACGTCTGCCCCGCCCACTCTGTCCAGGGGTACTTTAGTGATGCCTGGAACACGTTTGACTCCCTCATCGTAATCGGCAGCATTGTAGACGTGGCCCTCAGCGAAGCTGACGTGAGTATGTGCCCGCCTGGGGCGCCCCCCTCCCATCCTCTCTCTGTCTGTGCACCTCCACTCCCGCCCTGCACTGCATCACCTGGACAAGTCACAGAGCCCAGTCGTACTTGGTCGAATACCAGGAGTTTTCTAATGAGAGCTGAACAGAAGAGGCCTTTTAGGGTAGAGCCTGATCCTGGGCCTTTCTCAACGCAAAGCACCTTAGGGAGGGCCGACTGCTTTGCACTATCACCCAGGTCACTGGCAGGCAGGGCAAGAGAGGCATCTGGAACTGTTTTATCTGCTGTGTCAGAAGTGGTACCCAAAGTGATGTACCTACAACATGTTTGCTTTAGGGCGATTTTTCAAGTAGCCAGGTGGCTTAATGCTAGAATGTTCCCCTTTTATAACACTGTCCTTTTCTTCTTTTTTTCCCCATTGTGCTTCCTCTCTTCTGTGGCTTCTGAATGCTTGCCCTCACAGCACTATTTCACTGATGCATGGAACACTTTTGATGCCTTAATTGTTGTTGGTAGCGTCGTTGATATTGCTATAACTGAAGTGAATGTAAGTAGCAAACTTTGTGTCCTATAACCTGATTGTTTTCGTTAAGTCTAACGAGGAGGAGACCAGAAACCCTCCCCATGGATCTCTGAGCACTTTAGAAATTCATGCACACATTCATTTCAAAAGGCGAAGAACAGTTTGTCGTCTTCCCTCCCTCCCCCTCCCCCTCTCTCCTGAATGAGAGTGGGGAAGTAAGTGTAGAATTGCTATTTTGGAACAAATACATCATTTTAAAAGGAGACCTTATTAGGACAGTATGGAGGTTCCTTAAAAAACTAAAAATAGACACACCAGCAATCCCACTCCTGGGCATATATCTGGAGAAAACTATAATTTGAAAAGACATATGCACCCCAATGTTCACAGCAGCACTATTTATAATAGCCAAGACATAGAAACAACCTGAATGTCCATCAACAGATGACTGGATAATGAAGATACGTGTGTATACACACACACACACACACCCCACATGATGGAATACTACTCAGCCATAAAAAATAGTGAAATAATGCCATTTGCAGCAATATGGATGGACCTAGAGATTATCATGTTGAGTGAAGTCAGACAGAAAAAGACAAATATCATGATACCACTTATATGTGGAGTCTAAAAGTAATGATATAAATTCTATTTACAAACTAAAAACAGATTCACAGACATAGAAAACAAACTGGTTACCAAAGGGGAAAGGGCAGGGAGGGATAAATTAGGGGTTGAGAATTAACAGACACACATTACTATATATAAAATAGATAAACAACAAGGATCTACTGTATAGGACAGGGAACTATATTCAATTTCTTGTAATAAGATATAATAGAAAAGGAAAAAAGACCTTATTAAAATGTTAAGCGCCAGGAGTTAATTATGTGAGTATGTGAACATTATCGCTCACTAGCTGTGTGACCTTGGCAGGACACCCGGCTGCTTTGTGCCTCAGTTTATCCATTTGGAAAGTAGAGCTCATAATATTTGCCTTGGTACCCACTGTGGCACCCACCATGGTGGGTACCAAGGCACAGGGGGGATGCCCCACAGCTGTGCCCTGAGCACATGGCCACCACCTTGGGTGTCCTCACCTGTACCCTGTGTCTGCCGAGTCCTACCAGTGACCCTGGGTAACATCCCTGTCCTAGCTCCCCAAACATCAATGCAGATTGAAGGCTGCCCTTGGCTAGGGGACAGAGGGCCTAGTGTGTATCAGGGGAGGGTGTCTGTGCTCGCTCGTTTGTTGCACCCAGTTGAATTCTTTGTCGAGGGAACAAGTGCAGTAGCAGCGTGGTAGCTTGAGTGAACCTCCTGTAAGAAGTACCCTGAGAATGCTCCTCAGAATTCAGGGGCTCCAGAAAGGGGACCAGTGCCTCCCACTCGCCCCTTTTGGATCTGACCCATGCCTAGACTGAAAGGGCCCGAGGCCAACAGAAATGGCCCTGCCCACCTGGCCTGTCCCCGGTTCATCAGCAGGTCTCTGTGGGTGTCCAGCATGTGCCACTAGGTTGTGTGAAGCCCTTTTCGGGGATGGGTGGAGCATGAAGGAACTGTTGGGCTGTGCTGGCTTCTTGCTCCACACTGCCAGCCTGGCCTTCCTTCCCCAACACCTGGCCGGGAAGGGGTCACCATGCTCTGCCTGGCTGACATCTGTGGGACTGCATGGTCCATCCTGGTGCCTAGACAGCCTGCCTCACATAAAAATGATGGTGTCTCTGAGTGCCACTAGTTTGGGGGCCAGGCTGATTGTGGAGTGTAGAATAGTGGCACAGCCACTAGCCTGGACCCCAGCCTCTGTTCCCTCATGGGTCCACTGGGGTGAATGACACCTGCCCTTCCTGCTTTGTAGGTACATTGCAATGATAAAATGATAGGAGTAGTTGTGAAGATACTTGTTCAAAACCCAAAAGTGTTAGGGAGACAAAATGGAATTATTTTAAATGTAGATTTTCCCCGTATTAATAAGGAAAATGAACTGTAAGACTTTACCACGTGCGTGAGGGTGTGAGTCGAGCCTCATGACACTCAAATTCGTGCCATGACAAAGGAGTAAAATGGTATTTTCCTAGACCTCAGTACATGCATCCTCCAACCTCCAGAATCTCAGACTTGTGAATTATTTCACACAAAGTGGAATTCATATAAATCACCTATAAAATTGGCACTTATAATATGTAAATTATGCTTGGTTATAAAATAATCTTATACTAATGGGAGAGCAGCAGGGCTGCTCACCAGGCTGCCGTGGGCTCTCTCCTGAGTTTATGACCAGACATCCACCTGCTTAATCATCTCACAACATAAAGCACTTACAGCCTTCATCAAAGTACTCTTACTTGAACATTCTGGAACCAGACCCTTATGTTAGTCAGAGGCAGCCTATAATGGAAGTGGAAAAACCATAAACAACAATTTCAGCAGGTCCCTCCGTGCTTCAACTGTTGTGCAGGTGGTAGGGTGAAGGCTTCGTTTCTGGGCACCAGGATGTGGCCAGGGTTTGTTCACCCAGCAGACAGCCCAGCTCTCTAATGCCTGACCCGCACGCTGGCTGCCGGGTGCTCGGTGACAGCACACGCCAGTTTCTGGGCTGCCTCGCCGTGTGCTGCAGGCTGGCACCCACTGCACCTTCTCCTCTGGTTCAGCTCTGCTCTTCATTGTCTCCGACATGTTCCCCTTCACCTTCCATCAGTCAGGAAAGCCACAGGTCTATAAAAGCCCACATGAAGTTTTTTAGGTAGCACTTGACATTGGAGTGTCCATACAATCCAGGCTTTCGTTGACATTCAGTCATACCAGTTAACTTCCTTGTACTGTTTTTCAGTGTGTAACCATTCTCCTGGTCAGATGAAGGCTGAGACCAAAGCTTCCTGAGCCCAAAGCAATGCCAGTTCAATGCCCTGGGCCAGTAGAAACCCCCTTGGGGGACCTTAGGTATTCCTGTGCTTGGCCTCAGCGCAGAGGGAATGCTCAAGGGCCCCTCTTGATTCGGTCCTTTGTCACATCTTTATTGGGCATCTACAAAAAGAAAGAAGAGACTGAGTGCCCCTACCCTCTGCTGACATAACTGTCTGCGGGGAGTTAGTGGTTCTTCCACCCCACCTCCCGCACATCAGGTTCCCCAGGGAAGCAATGCACATCATTTTCCTTGGTGGCCTTGCCCCCCAAGCTCCTGCGTCAGCTGAGCATGAATATTCTTGGTCCATTGTTGGCTGTTTTTAGCTACCAAACGTCATCATTTTTTGCAATGTTTAACTTGCTGTGCTCTCTCTCCCAACCTCTGTTGATCTTTCTTTTCTGTTGCCTAATTGATTTTCATGTTGGTTTTATTTTTAGAAAATTGTAGCGGCAAGTATATATAAACATATATACGGTGAAGTCGTTGTTAAAGCAAAAGCGCTCGAAAGACTGTATACTTGTCTTTGGCTTCCCCACCTTTGGTTTTCACTGAGTTTCACAGGAGTGCAGTGGGTTGTGGTCATCTAAATTGTTTGCTGTGCCCTATTTCATTATCTCCAGCCTGAGGCCTGAGCTGGGGCCGTCTTGGTCTGTCACGCTTGGCTCTGTGACATGCCAGGATAGTCTTCAGAAATGAATGATCTGGCCTGGAAATGAGAAATTGAGCTTGCGTTTGCATTCTTTGTGCAGACATTTTGGATGGCCCTTTCCGTTGTCCTGCTTGCACGCTCACCCAGCCCTCTCCATCTTGCTGCCCCGCTCCCACGCCCCACACCCTGCCACGGTCATGGTTTGATAGCTTTCGTGGACTTGTCTTCATCACAGTTGATCGTAACTACACCAAGCTGCTAAAATGTCAGATGAGGAATGGCAGGCTCACTTTGTCCCCTTCTCCGATGCTTGTTTGTCCCTTGAATAGTGAAATGACCCAGCGTCGTAGTCACCCTAACCTAGGGAATGGCCATGGCTGACATTTAGTCTTTTCCGTTATCGTTATTGCCAGGGAGGCAAAATGCTTGTTTAGAAGCCATGCCTGCCTTGTTATTACGTAAGAGCATGTAAAAAGTCAGTAGGAAGCTCACTCCCAGGGACCCAAGATTGGCCCCTGACTTGTCACGTACTCAGGTTAGACAGGTGGCCAATAGCTACACTCAGCCTCTTTTCTGAACCCCTGATCAGGTTATTCAGCCCTCCATTCCTTATGCTACCCTTTTCTAGGGACCAGATTGCTGGTTTGTGGACACAAACTCAGCAATCCCAAGTACAGAAGCCCTCCATTCCAGAGGTGTTACAAACCAGGTCAGAAGTAGTCAGAGGGGGCTCCTCCCAAAGATTCTCCAGGACGCCTCAGGGTAACTGGTTTGCTGGGATGCTGGTTTGCTTCTTGTCTGAAATGGAAGACTGCATCATTTCAGCTTTTCCAGAAAAACATGGGAATGAATGCAGAAGGTGCAGACCCATCCCTTTGATGGCACTTGGGAAACTCAGGGCTGGTTTGGCTCCATGGTTGTGGGGGGCTGGCCCAAAGCCTACATTGCTAGAACCTGCTTGGGAGCCCTGTGGGGAGGAGCTTTGCAGACCCTGGCATATAGTTTGGCTTCCTGAGGCTGAAGGCCCATTTCCCTGTAGGGTTTCTAGATGAAGGATGTGGCATCTCAGGAAGGAGTTACCAAGGTCATCTAGTCCAGGCCCTGGGATGACACTGGAAATCCCTCTATTGAAAAGCAATCACTCAGCCCCTAGCGCTGTCTTTGGAAAGGCCCCTGGGGAGTGAGTTCTTCCCCAGTTTCCCAGGCTCTACAGGTGTCCTGTGATCCATCCTGGGAGTCTGGCAGGACGTCAGCTTGCTGATGGTCCATTCCCACCCTCCAGCAGCTCCCTGCATTTCCAAGCCTCCTCCATCCCTTGTAGGGAAGGCAGAGAGGGCATCACCTCTCTCTGTACCCTTCTGAGTACTGAACCCTTATCAACCCCAAGAGAACCCTTTGCTGAGCTGTAACAGCCTGAGTGAGCTTTTCTTGTGCTCCCGCTCTGTGTGGTCACTCCAGACCTCCAGGGAATGTGTTGGTGTGGGTGACCAGCTGAAGACATGGCCCAGCTTTACCCTGGCCAAGGGCCACCATCCTCAGCTCTGGCTGTAGGTTGGTATCACCTGGGAGCTTTTAAAATTCCCAAACTCGGGCACATCCCAGATAATTCCATAAAAATCCTTGGGGTGGGACCTCGGCACCAGAGTTTGTTAAAGGTTCCCAGGCAGTCCCAGCGGGCAGCCCGGGGTGGGAGCTGGCCTGCCCTTCTCCTCAAGCTGGCGTTTGTAGTTTAGGCAAAGCCATCCTCAGGGTCCCTCAGTGTGTAAGATATTTTGGCAACTTGCACTTTCCCCTAGTGCTACCCGTGACATCCTGCCCTGCGCAGTCCTCCCTGCCCAACATGGCATAGGGGGAGGGAGGTGTCACAGGCTGCACTGGGGGTGCACGCAGCCTGGTGTGCCGTTTGCTCTGCCCTTCCTTTCTTGCATGTTGTGCTGCCTTGCCCCTCCACAAATGCTGTCTCTTCCTCTTTTTTTTTTTAAACTAAAGACTACCCATGGTTTCACCTTCATAGCCCAAGATTTGTCATGCTTCAAAGATATCAGTTGAAAAGGAGATGTGCGCTTCAAAAGTCAATTTGGCTGCTGACTTCCCCGTATAAGAGGGGCATAGCAGGCCCATCAGACTTGGGGTAGGCTGGGGAGGGGCAAGCAAGAGAAGCCGTGGCCTGGAAGTGTCTTCCTCAACCATACAGCCTCCTTATTCTCTTGCAGGTCCAAAGTACAAGTTATGGACATTGCAAAAGTATACTGTAGAGTGTCTGTCTTATGCACACTCTGGTCCCCTTGAGCATAGGCAAGCATACAAACACACCCCCCACACACTCCAGCTGCATGGGCGAGACTGGAGCCTCCTGCACACAGCCCGTAGGGAGATGGTGTGGGAGAGATTGAGAACTTTGGGAAATAAATTCCTTCACTTGATAAAGTCATTGAATTAAAAACCATCATCTGTCCCTTTAAGAAGATGAGATAATAGAGGGAATATAAAAAGAGTGACTGGGCTTTGACCAACCTATTGGAGAGTTCACATTCTGAGCATCCCAGGTGAAGCAGACACCTCTTTAGCCCCAGCAGAACCTGTTAGTCCAGGGTTCATAGTCTTGTTGAATTTTAGTTGTGATGTGATGTGCTCAAACTCCTTATATTTTTTGAATTTTATAGAGTTTTATGTTTGGTCTCAGGAGGCAGCCGTTGATGAGAGTGGGACTTTAGAACGGAGTTTTTCCTTTCCCTGTATCTCCAGGGAGGAGAGCCCATTAGATGAGGGTGTGTGACCATGCGTGCACACACATCCCTTAGCTGTGCAGACACCATGCAGAGAGGCTCCCTAGAGCCCTGGAGAGTACTCAGCCATCCAGGCCCCCAACCAGAAGAGCCTCCTTCCTTTGCTGGCTGCCAGGTAGACAAGCTGCTTCAGCTGAGGTGACCCCCCCCCACCTTGAAGGGAAAAGAATGGCTGTCATTTCCCGGCTCTTGTTCAGTCTCTACTGTTTAAAGATGCCTCCTGATATTTGTGAGTTTGCTTACAATCTCTGCATTCTCATAAACACTTATTGAACCTCTAGTAAGTTCCAGACACCATGGTGGGCACTGAGTGGAGTGAGGCAAGGTCCCTGCCCTCAGGGGGCTCACAGGCTGAGCGGGGAGGCAGATGAGCACAGGGTGACAGTGCAGGGATTCTGCACCCTGGGCCCAAGTGGCAGGAGCCCAGCCAGACCTGGGGTGAAGCAGCACTGCTGAAGTTCAGGGCAAGCTGCTGCTAAGTTGTTTCTTCCCAAGAGCCACACAGAGCTAAGCTTTCTGGGTTGGGCAGTGAAGGCTTCTGGAGGGAAACCAGCCCCTCTCCTGCAGTGCCCGGCTCCTTGGCTGCCGCACCAGAGAGGGCCCCACTGGACACGTGCTGCCTAGGTGTGCGGCTCCGGGAACAGAGTAGGGTCCAGGAGGCCTGTGGACCACAGGGAGCTCCCACCCTGTTTGCCTTGTTTAGTAGAGCCTTTCTGTTCCTCAGGGTTAGGGATGGCCTGCCGCAGAGTGGTTAGTTCCTCAGACCCACAACCCTGACAAAGAAAAGAGAACCAGTCTCCCCCCAGAAGCGGAGTCCTCCTCTGCATTTTCGGGTTCAGAACACTGAGGTCTTGCAGCATTACCTTTTACTGGACGTCTGTCAGCCTTGGAACATTACGTCCTGGGTGTGAGTTAGAAAGCAGCGTGTCCGAAAGAAAAAAATGAAAAAAAAAAAAAAAAAAAGAAAGCAGCGTGTCCGAGCCTGTGTCAGCACTGCCCGCCCTCAAGTCAGTTCCAGGCAGTGCCGCTGGTGTTTCCTCAGGAAGGTAGCAGATGTATTACCCTAAGACATTCACCACAAATTTTTAAAAAGAGGGAGGGGCCGTCCTCCTGACCACCTGCTTCCTTCCCAGTTCATTAATACATTTTCAATCTTTGATTTCTTAAAGCCAACTGAAAGTGAAAGTGTCCCTGTCCCAACTGCTACACCTGGGGTAAGATCAGTGACTAGTCCCCGGGGCCTGGGCCTTTTCCTTGAGTTTATTTGACCATGCCGAGTTTTCCACTAGTTGTTCTGTATTCTCCATGATTGTCCTTCCAGAGCAGTGTCTGCAGTGGTTTGCGTTCATCATCAGTGTCCAGTACTCTTGACCAGCCCAGCGTCCCCCTCTTAACACACTAGACCATGTGGACATGCATGTGCTGTGTGGACGCGGTTTTCCAAGCCCTGTGTTGTTAGCATGTAACTTTTCCTTTCATATCATGCTTCTTAAGGTGAAAAGGCCCTAGAAACACATCTTTAATTCTTACCTCTGCCACCTTTGTTTGCATCTGTTGCTGTTTTTCTGAAAGTGTTGCATGTTCTACTTTCCATTGGGTTTGACCTCTCCGTAATAACCCTTCAGAACTCTGAAGAGAGCAATAGAATCTCCATCACCTTTTTCCGTCTTTTCCGAGTGATGCGCCTGGTGAAGCTTCTCAGCAGGGGGGAAGGCATCCGGACATTGCTGTGGACTTTCATTAAGTCATTCCAGGTAAGCGCCGTGCCCGCAACTTCTTTGTCTTTGAAGAATATGTGTGAGTCGGCGGTTGTCCTCTAGCGTGGAGGGTCCAGACTCCCTTCTGGGTGACCACCTGGGTCTGTAGAGAACATGGGATGCTGAGGAGACCCGGCCCAGCGTTGCTCGGGTAAACCCAACAGGATTACTTGCTTAAAGGAAGCAGAGGAGAAAGCAGTAAGGACCAGTGGCTGAGAGATGGGCAGCATTTCCCAGGCTGACTGAGATGCGGGGCTCCCCACCCCTCCACCCTCCTCAGGATGCCCCGTGTGAATGGTGATGTCTGAGCATGTGAGGGTCCTGGCCAACTTCTGGAAGCCAGACAGCTTCTCCCCTTAAGTCTGCCACAGTCTTTGTTGTCCTCTGTTGGCCAACCTAGATACGAATCAGAGACCACTCGACTGGGGCCGGCACGCCATCCCCAGTCACGAGTTGTCCAGTGCCTGGGAGGTTACAGAGTGGAGGACATCTGGGTATGAAGTAGGTCGTCTTTGTCATCTGGGACTCTCCAGGCTGGTGCATCCTAGTTCCAGGCGGTTCCCCAGCAGAACCCAGCTTCTCCTGTGCCTCCCAGCACGCACCCTGGATGTTCTAGCCTCCTGGACTTACACCACTGGGGAGGGGCACAGATTCTTGTTACTAGGCGCACCAGGTGGGGAGTTTGAAGGTGTGCATGAACAGCAGAAAGTGAGTCGCTGATCTTTGTTTCTTCATCATTTGACTGTTCTTAATTCAAAGGTAGTACCTGCTCACACTAACAAATGAGGTTACCCAAGGATACACAAAGCACAAGTTCCACCCCCACCCCCACTCCCACCGCCTCTGAGATAACTGGTGTTACTATCCCAGGAAACATTTTTCCACAATGGGTGGGTGAGGTGGTAACAGGTAAAGAGAAGAAGGGATGACATCTAGGGAAGGAGGTAGATTCAAAAACTGAAAGAAGGAAAATCACAAGTCCTTTTGGGGAAAATGAGGTTGTAGGAGGAACGGGAATGCAGCTCTGAGAGAGGCAAGGGCAGAGCAGGGCCTCAAGCAGGTGAGCCTTGGTCCTGGAAATGGATAAAATCCTAGATGGTTGCTATAAATACAAAGTACCACAGTTTGTGGACAAACTTCCATAAAAATAGAATGAATTCATGTAATAATGTCATTCTTACTTTTTAAAAGAAACAGTTCAACTTTTTTTTTAAGATTTGATTATTGCAGATAAATTCGTGTCTCAGAGTAGCAGTTGATAAAAATTGAGAAACGGTGCCACTAAATTTTTAAACATTCACTAATCTAGGAGAAAATGCATATAGATATAGTGAGGATAGCCTGGAACCAAGGCTGTGGGACCCTGTTAGCCAGTCCAGCTGTGAGGATGGGGCCGCTGCACTAGCCCAGCTGGCAGTCACAAATCCAGAGCTGGCACAGTCAGAAAGATTTTTAGCCATTGGCTTTCAGGTGACTTTTCTCAGCGGAGAAAGAGGAGGCTTTACGCATGTGTGCTTGGCATTAAGTTTAACAATCTGGGCGCTCCCTGGAGGCCTGCCACGCACACGGACACCTTCTGTCACCTGCGGTGAGGAACCTTGGATTAAGGAACCAGGGGTCTGACCCGACGTGTGCTGGTATTTGATGTTCCTAAGGGGAGCCCAGGCTTGGTGACTGCTCAGCCAGCTCCTTTTCTTTCCTGGACCAGCCGCCAGCTCTGCTCTTCTTTCAAAAAGTGTACATTTTAAGAAAGGTGCCTTGCCTTCAACAGCCACAGCCAGAAAGTGGTTCTTCCACTCTGACCCAGTGATTCCACTCCTAAGGCTTCACGCTAAAGAAGTACTTCAGCAGATGCCAGGTGATTTTGCATAAAGATGTTCCTTTGTAAAGTAGCCCCTTGGTCCAACCCCAAACACCCCCACAATAGAAAGTGGAAGCCATCTAATTATCCAGCATTTTGGAATTGTTTCATCAATTACAGTAATTTCACAAAGGAATCCAGCGGTGAATTTAAGCATTACCCTGCAAGGGAATTGTCACTGTTTGACACTGTTCAGGATTAGGATATGCTGTTAACAACTATGTAAAGCACGTCCCACCTGCAGCTTCGTAACACAAGTGTGCACGGGCTGCTGTACTCAGGGCTGAAGTCATCCTGCTGGGCTGGGGTTTAAAAAGCTCTTCCACACCATTGACATCCTTTCAATATAACACAGAAAAGAATACTGTGTGTGCCCCACGTGGGTCTGCAGTCTGTCCCCGAGCAGTTGCTGTCAGGGCTAGGGGCAGGAGGCCCGCATAGAGCCAGGTGCTTCCTTTCTTCCAGGCGCTCCCCTATGTCGCCCTTCTCATAGCCATGCTGTTCTTCATCTACGCGGTTATCGGCATGCAGGTAAGCTCCAGCCCCTCTGTCTCTGAATCCCCTTTGCTGGGTTGCCCCAGATCTGTGGCAAGATGTCCCTTGGGCAGGTGGGCTGGAAGACAGGTCATGATTTTTCAGCCAGCAGCGATGAGAAAGATGTGGTCCAGAGAGCCGGGCCCAGAAGGACATGGGGAGGTTGGAATATGTCAGGGGAAGCTAACCTGGGGACCCTCCCCATTCCCAGTCTGCATCTCAGGAGAGCCAGTCAACTGAGAAGACCCATCATTGATTGTTGCAACAGCAAATGCCATACTGAAAGAAGCCCTCATTGCCTATTTTCTGCACCCATGTTGCTTAGAAAGTAGTGAGTGAGACAAAAGTCTGTTTATCATCTGAAAACATTACAAATGATTTCCAGATGCTGGCTGCTGAACTCAACTCAGCAGCACCCCTCTAAAAAGAAGCGTGAAACCAGGCCCTTCTGTGGCCTGGGCCTGGGGGCTTCCAGCCCGTCCTGGGGTGAGGAAGGGAATTAGGACTTCACTCACAGCTAAACCCTGCACACAGTGGGTGGGTAGGGGGCAGAGCCTCCCGGAGGAGAGGGTGGTGGAGCAGCTGGTGGCACTGGACCTCCCGAGGCCTCTTTGCTACATTCTCTGCTGGGCAAGGTGCAGCCTTTCAGATAAGGGAGGTTGTGAGTGACAAATAGGTGAAGCATCCCCACAGCAGAGAAATGGTGGTGTGTGCCTTTTTATTCTGAAGACAGAGAAGTATTTGCAAGTCATTAGGAATCTTACCAGGAGTTTGGAACGAAGAGTTAGCATGCTTGAGTCCCTCCCTGTAATTCAGCAGTAGGGGATGCCCTGAAGGGTCTTTGATGCCTTAATGTCCTCTTACAAAACTAGAGTTGTCTCAGAGAACCCCAGACTCCTCACACACGCCACTGCGGGTTTACTCTTTGCTAGGCATCACGCCCTTCTAAAATGTCAGTCTGTTTCTGTAATTCCCACAAGTGAAGTATTTACTACCTTCCCCTGGCCCTTAGGGCAAAGCCCATCCTCCTTCCCGTAGCCCAGCGGCCCCCCAGGCTTGTCGGCGGCCTGGTCTTTGGTCTGTCCATCTGTCACACTCATGGTCTTTTCATTTCCTGGAGCACCTGTGCCTAGTGGCCTCTGTGCCTTTGCAGGCAGTGCTCCCTCTGCCTGCAGCACTCTTCACCTCCTTGTCACCTGACTGGCTTCTCCTTATCCTTCAGTTCTGAGCCTTCACCTCATTTCCCCTGGAGGCCCACCCTGCCCCCAGCCCCGATCTGTGAGCCTGGCTGTGCCTCCCTGTCGGGCTGGACTAGCCCAGCTCTCATCGGAAGGGGCTGCTTGTCTGGTTACTTCTGCACCCCTTCTCCCAGGTGGGGACTCCTTGAATGGAGGATATGCCTGACCTCAGCGCCATGTGCCCAGTGGTCAGTATGGTGCCTGGCCCAGTTCTGTTGAATGAATAAAGCGCCAGGCACTCCGAGCTGGCCCTCGTGGGTACTGACCAAACTTGAGTTCTAGATTCATGTACAGAGTTTTGGAGAGTTTTCTGCATGACAAAAGCTTTTCTTTTTACCCTAATACTTTCTCTCTATAGATGTTTGGGAAAGTTGCCATGAGAGATAACAACCAGATCAACAGGAACAATAATTTCCAGACCTTTCCTCAGGCAGTGCTGCTGCTCTTCAGGTGACTGAGTCCAGCCCAGAGCAAGCCTGTCTCCCTCTGGGCTCCCAAGTGACAGGAACACGTGTTACTCCAGCAGCTGGTCATGGTGGCTTTTTGTATTTGTTTGTTTTGTATTCTCAAACAGACACACGATCATTTTAGTCACAGGGGAATTTTGCTGGATTGTGGTCATTCCAATTGTGATGGGCTTAATTAAGGTTTTCCACTTGGGAGTGAGAAGGTCTAGGGAGGCCACCGGGAGGGTACAGGATCTGTGCTTATGCGTGGGAGCGAGTGCCTGAACGCAACCAGGAGAAGCGGACATTTAGCAGGAACATAGGGGCCTTTTCAGAGCCAACATGGAACATCCTGAGATGTGCAATTTCAAGTTTTATGGGATTGTTTTAACTCCATTTAATAACTGCAAACAAAGGGCCATAAAGTGAGAGAACTTTCTAGAAATCATACAAGTAATTCCTAACAACTCTAGTGAGTGGAGAGCAAGTCATCTGTGAGTTAAATGGTTTCTAATTCTTTGCTTTTAACAGAATTGGACGGGGATCTTATGAAGTTGTCAGATGTTAGGTCATTAAAAATAATTAATAATCGTTTAAAAATTATAATATGTGTTTAAAGGAGAGAAGACACCAAAACAAACATCCCCTTATACAAAAAGAATTGATGTTCTTGTCTCAGATGGTTAAGGTCAATCAGAGGGAGTTGCAGCAGGGCCTGCACTCACTGACAGAAGCTGCATTTGAAAACCAGTAGGAATTTCAGTTTATGAACTCTCACTAATTCAAACTGGCTTTTTCCCCAAATTACTTATGTTTTGCTCTAAATTAAAAAAAAATTTTTTTTCCTTAAGATTTCTTAAAGGTTTAAGCCTCAAAAGCCTTCTTCCCCTATAAAGACCTTTCTTTGCTTAATCCAAAAAAGGTGTGCGACGGGGGAGGCCTGGCAGGAAATCATGCTGGCCTGCCTACCGGGGAAGCTCTGTGACCCCGAGTCGGATTACAACCCCGGCGAGGAGTACACGTGTGGAAGCAACTTCGCCATCGTCTATTTCATCAGTTTTTACATGCTCTGTGCGTTTCTGGTAAGTGATCAGAATCACCCCACCCCATCAATGGACAGATACTCCCATAGCTTTTTGGGATTCAATGATGTCCTGTCAGATTGCTACAGAGTACTTTATGCTGACCAGCACTTTAGACTCCACTGGGCAATAGAGGATTTTGCTGAATGAGGCCTGTTTCACTAGCACCTTTGTTGTGAGCAGAGGTTGGATGCTAACTAACAGGCTTCACCACCCCAGCTTGTTAGGGCTGCTGGTTCCTTTATAAAAATGTCAAAGCTGCTGCACATAGCAGTGACTTGAGTGTGAGCTATTTGGTGCCAAATTATAAAACTGCAGTGTGCTTCGAAAGGTCAGATAATACATTCCTCCTGTCCTCCTGTGAAACTATATGCTATAAAGCTATTTTGGAAAGCTAGAAGCCTACCTTTTTCTTAAGTTTTAGAAGCCTACCTTTTTCTTAAGTTCTCCAGAAGGGAAGTTTTTACAGCCTCTCGGAGAAGTGGGTCCAAATGTTTTGTGACCGTTATAATTAGGAAGCACTTTCTAGGGTCTAACCCAGCTCAGCCCACGAGAGCTGAAGCTCCCTCTTGATTGGCTTTTACAGATCATCAACCTGTTCGTGGCTGTCATCATGGACAATTTTGATTATCTGACCCGGGACTGGTCTATTCTGGGGCCTCATCATTTAGATGAATTCAAAAGAATATGGTCCGAATACGACCCTGAAGCAAAGTAGGTTGTGTGGCTTGTGTGGGCTGTCTCTGGATATTGCCTGTGCATTTTGTGGAAAGTGGGATGGACTGAGAGCTTAGGCTGGCCAGTGCTGCCCCACACTTCATGCCATACTTTGTCTCCAGGGGAAGGATCAAGCACCTGGACGTGGTCACTCTGCTCCGCCGAATCCAGCCTCCCCTGGGATTTGGGAAATTGTGCCCACACAGAGTAGCCTGTAAGGTAAGTATCCTGTTCTCATGCCTGACAGCCTCTCCTGTGGGGACTCCCAGCTTCAGTCAGCAAACACTAAGTGACGTTCTCCCAAGCCTGATGTCAGGCACTGGGGCTGCCTAGATGAGTGATGTGTGGTCACTGTCCTGAGGAGCTTTCAGATGTGTGACTCTTAGGACACTCTATCAGCCAACAGTAAGAATAGGAAAGGAATTATGTAATTTGTCATCAGGTGGCAGGAGCGGGTGCTAACAAGTTGCATCATGTCCAGCAGGAGAGAAGTAGGAGTTTGTCAGAGCGGGAAGAGTATTTTGCAGATGGGGAGTCTGGACAGCCCAGATGTGGAGGCAGGAGAGTAGGGGGTCATCGGTGTGGCTGGAACACAAGAGAGAGCAGCAGAAAGCCCCGGGCTCAAGCTGAGCATGGCTGTGAGGAGCCTTCTGTGCCAGGCTGAGTCCCTCAGAAGAATCGCAAGTAGACTTCCATTCTGGAAAGTTGACTCTTGGCAGTGGAGAAGTGAACTGGGGACAGGACAATGCCCAGGGGAGCTGTTGCCATCTTCTCACTGAGGAGTCCGGAGAGCCAGAGGGAGGGCAGTACAAGTGGGCGTGGAGAGGAGGGAGCGGCTGAGGGAGCTCCTTGGGAAGCAAAAGGGAGAGGACCTGGTGGCCTGGGCATTTCCCAGTTCATGTGATGGTGGATGTGGTGACGTGCCCCTCCACTGCGGGAGCTCCTTTGCTGGTGAGCCTGCGTCAGGCAGTGACTTTGCAGGGTGGATTCAGCTCTCCCACCTCACCCCTTTCTGAAGTTTTCACATCAGACTCTCTGCGAGCCCTCGTCGAGATTTGTTTTCCTTCCACAGAGCTCATGTTGCACCACCTTGAGTCAGCTGTCACAATAGAAAGGATTCCCCCTTTACAGGAGAAGTGCAAGATTTGGCTTTGGGAAGTCTATCCTATAGAAATCCGACTAGGAATTTAAATGGGATGAATCCTGTGTACACAAGATTTTAGTCCATTAATAGGGAGGAGAAAAGGCTTTTAAAATCTTTCTCTTAGAACACCTTGTCAGCCAAAAATAAGAAATTTGGAACTATTAACATTTATAATTCTTTAGCATTTACCAGCCAGGCACCTAGCTGAATCTCAGTGTCTGTGGTCTCCTTTAACCCTTGCCCGAACCCTTTGCCATGAGCCTGGCACCTGCATTTACAGAGGTTACTGAGGCCAGAGAGGATGTCATTCATCCAAGTTCTCTTCAGTTCTCAGTGCTGGTGTTACAGGGGCTAGGGGAGAAAAAAGAGAAGCAGAAAGTGGGGATCCAGCTCTGGAAGACCAGACACTCAGAGAAACCACGTGGTCTCGTACACAACACTCCCCAGTGGTCACATCAGGGCAGGGTCCTTGAAGGATACTCCGTGCCTTAGGAATAGCAACAGACCCTAACCCCGCAACAGCCTTAAGGACATGCCCAGAATGGAGGCCAGACCCCAAGACACTGGGAGAGCCGATTAATGAGAAAGGGAGAGGAATGCGTGAACAGTAAGGGGACTGAACCGTTTTGAAAAACAAAGTACATCATCCAAGTGCCAGCTTTGTCTTTGACCTTAGTCATCTCAGAGCCCCTTAACTGGTAGATGCCCCCCAGAAGGCCGTTGAGCTCATTGAGGATTGATGAGAGAGAAGCAGAGTAAACATGGAAAAGGGATGCGGCTGTCATTTGTCATTTGCCTTCCATTGAGAAACATTTCTGTTTGCAGAGACTAGTTGCCATGAACATGCCGCTCAACAGTGATGGGACAGTGATGTTTAATGCAACTCTGTTTGCTTTGGTTCGAACGGCTCTTAAAATCAAGACGGAAGGTGAGCCCTCCCTGGAAGCAGGACAGGTGGGAGAAGAGGAAGGGAATGCTGTGTCCCACCTTGATTCCGATCCGGGTCTTTTCTTGTCCAATAGGGGATGTCCAGGGAAGGGGGCAGGGAGGGTAGTGAGACCATCTGTGCTGGACCCTCTGGCCTGGCCTCCCTCCCTCCCTCCTCCCTCCTTTCCTCCTCCCTCCCCCTCCTTTCTTCCTCTCTCTCTCTTTTCCTCCCTCCCTCTGTCTCTTTGTGTCCTGGAAGGTTTACAGAGGGACTCATGCCACCTGCAGCCCTGGAGAACAGAGAGGCATTGCTGAGTAAAAGAAGCCAGGCTTGTTTTCCCCTCTTCTTTTTGAATTCAGGGAACCTGGAACAAGCTAATGAAGAACTCCGAGCTGTGATCAAGAAAATTTGGAAGAAAACCAGCATGAAACTTCTTGACCAAGTTGTCCCTCCAGCTGGTGGTCAGTGTACTTTATTTCCTAAGTAGTTCTTGGCCAACACACTGGTTTCAATGACAGAGTCTCCAGGAAGCCCAGCATGTTTGCAGAACACTCAAGGTATCAGCCAGAGCAGTAGGGCCAGCAGCCGCAGAAGGCCCTTTGGCCATTGGTGCAATTATCTGGGTTAACGTGAGACCATTCCAGACAAAGGAGAGACTTCAGTGACAAGGAAACCAAGACCCAGATGACTGAAGCTGGGTTTTCTTGTGGGTGGAGGAACTAGGAGAATAAGCTTACTGCCTGAAAACCAAAAGCCTGTATTTTGGGGGCCCAAAGTGAAATATTTAAAACTAGTTTCCATTTATCCTTCAACGTATTGTTGAAAAAGTCTCACAAAAAAAATTTCAGAAAATGATATTTTCAAAATGTTCTCGTCAAAACCGATTCTATTGCCCTAATTACCAAAAATGTCCCTTTAATTAGAATTTAGAGACAGAATAGGCATGCTTATTTCCTTCGTTGTTTATCACAAAATAACTTACTAAACTTTTTTCAGATTTATATATATATAAAATACATATATATATATAAGACAGATACTGTTTTTTCATTTTGGTTGAAGTACACATGAACTTACCAGTGGAGGTGGTTGTTTTTTGACTGTTTTGTTTTCAAGTTTTAAAGGTGCAGGATCGGTTTGCTGAGCGCCCCTACCCCTGGACGCATTAGAAGCATTCCGTGTGTTTTATAACCAACTGAACTTTTATGTGTCACTGTTCCTGCAGCCTTCCAGATGGGGCTGGCTCAGGTCTGGAAGCTGACTCCGGAACCCCAAGCCAGGACGGTGGCCACCGTCTTTCTCTCTGAGAAGGTGACAACTCTGGCTCTTGGTGGGGCAGAGAGAGTGGCACACTGGCCAGCTCCGCTCCTCAGCATGACTCGAGAAGCAATGTGAGCTTTTGTCACTGCCACCCATAGCTGGCAGGGCCACTGGCTCAATGCTGGGAGAGATGGCCCACAAAGAAATGATAAAAAGAAAGTGCAAAAAAAAAAAAAACCCAGAAAAAACACAAACCAAAAATCCTCCCACCTAGGGAGAGAACCCTGGCTCTCCACAGGAGAACTGATGCTGCACTTTTTAAAACAACTCTTTGGTTTTCGTTCTTTTCTTTTTAGCTGCACACCCAGGTGCTCGCATGGCTGAGATGAATTGCTTTTTCAAATCGTTGTAATGATGTGCTTGAGCTTTTTCTGCAGCCTCCATTCCTTTCAACTCTCAGTCTTTCAGAATATTCTGAAGCAATTCTGTTTTAGGGTGGTGGCATGGAATCGGAGTTATCTCTTGCCAAGTGTATTCCCCGACATGTTTCTCAACATACAGATGCATGCTTCAGAATAGCGGGTCATGCCTGTCTAGGTGAACCTCCTCACATGGTCCCCCCACCTCCCTTCTCTCTTGAAATGCCCCTTTCCTTCCAGACCAGTCTCTCTCATGTCAGTGTCCATCCTGGCAAGACTCACCTGGGGAAGGTCATTCGCATTATTGTGACACTTCATGTCTTTCCATTTCACCAGAAAAAAAGTCCAGTATTTGGCTCCCTTCCTTTGAAAAACTGATCAACTTTTTACCCTCCTAGGCTTCTCATAAAGGCTACGTAGTCTTCTGCTTTCTTGGCCCAGCAGTGGCCCCTGGCTTTTTCTCCATGTTTCTTAACATGGATTGAGGTTTAGGATGACGGGTTCATCCCTTCTAGAATGGCAGCAAGAGTACCAAGAAACAGCGCCTTAGCAGGGGATGGAATGCCCCAGAAGCTCCATGGCATGGGTTGTGGGTGTGCCTAGTGTAGAGCTTACCAGGAAGAATCTCAGATAAATGCTCTGTCACTGAGTTTCCAAAGGCAGTGACTTTTAGCCTTTGGTGACAGACTTGATTGAGTTGTTGGCCAGGATCTTAGCATCTGCATTCACCATTTATCTCTTTATTTTTCTCTTTGACCTTCCAGTAGACTGTGGGTCCCAGCCTTTCCCACACTATGGGGCACTTAGAAAACGAGGACATTTATATAGCCCTCTGGGCCAGCAGAGGGGTAGCTCCCATGGCTGAGGGGCTCAGTGTCCCACTCAGGTTCCAGGAGCCTGGGACCAGCCATTGTGGGGCACTCAGAGGGCACCTTACACCCCTGGTGGCAGAGCAAAGTAGTTGCCCATCTTAGGAGGCTTTGCCGGCTCGGGGGTGATGGGAGATGCCCCCCAGGCCATTATGAGCTGGATGAGATGATACTCGGGAATGCGCCCGGAGCCCAGGTTGAACTCCATGCTCTCAATGGTACCTTTGGCTACGGGGACAGCCTGTCTACTCTCTCTGCACTGAGCTGTCTCATGTCCCATTTGAATTTTTCACATGTTCTTACCTGCACTCTTGAGTCTTCTGCCATTTCACTGATCTCTCCCCTCCTTCAGAAGCCCCATCTTTTCCCAGAGACTGTCCTTCCCTTCACTCCTGGATTTAGAGTAGAGACAGAATAGGCATGCTTATTTCCTTCGTTGTTTATCACAAAATAACTTACTAAACTTTTTTCAGATTTATATATATATAAAATACATATATATATATAAGACAGATACTGTTTTTTCATTTTGGGTCTTCTGTGCCCTGAAGAGTGCTCGGAGCTGACACCATCATTCTCTGCAGCCCCGAGCCCAGATAGCCTCCTACATCCTTCCTCTGCTTCCTTCCTTTTCTGTGCTTTTGGACCTTTGGCTTTTCCTGTTCTTCAGACTCTTCCTGGGCCTGGTCTCAATAGCTCAGCATCTCGGTGTGAAGACCAGGTGACCCTTGATCGCTGCCCTGCAGAACCCTAGAAGGGTGCCTCTGCCCTGGAGCTGCCGCTTGTGCAGAAACACGGGCCACCCTCTTCACTGAGTATGTCGCAGCCCCAGACTCTGGGCCAAGGAGAGCCAAGACCCTCCCAGAGGAGCCCCTCTGAGCCCTTCCAGGTTAGCACCATCCAGGCTGGAGGAAGGTAAAAGTTAGGCCTGCTTTTGCTGGAAGCATTCCAGTGAGGAATGAGGTGGGCCTTCTGTAAATTCAGCAAGTGTTTTTCTTGGAGCCCACAGAGAAGACTTGAAACCCTGGCCTGCAGAGGCTGGCTAAGTCCCTGGGATTCTCTGCTTGGTCCACAGTCAATCCACCTCCCACATGGAGCCCAATAGAGAGGTAGACTTGGACTCTGGGAGAGGCAGCCCCAAAGGAGCAGATGGTCCTAGCAGTGGAGGTAGTGTGGAGGAGAAGAAGAGCCCGGGCCCGGGGTACCTACATCCCAACTCATCTGGCCTGGGGCAAGTCATGAACCTCTGTCCACTGCCCTCTCGCCTTCCTGCCTCTGGACAGTGCATTGCTAGACCATTTAGATCAGCACAAGACTGATGAGGGACCTGGTTTTACATGATACCCAAAGACTTAGGTTCACTTTGGTGGCCTCCATGCCACTGTAGGCCTTGCCGTTTTGGGTTTAAAAGGAATGCAACACGCTTCTCAAGGCTGACCACCCCAGGGCATCTCGTCACATAGTTAACACTGAGTAGCTTCTGACAAGGGAGTTTGGGGGGCAGCCCAGAGTGGCCCAGCAGTGTCCAGGCAGGGATACTTACCACATGGGCACAAAATGAGCCCCAGCCAGGAGGGTCCCAGTGTCTCCACCTGTCATGCTCTCTGCTCCACTTCAGTGGATGTCACTATTGGCAGGTTGTAAAATAATAGTGACTCTGATGGTTCACAGTCACGTGCCCCCTGGCACCTACGACCACCCAAGCCAGTGGCTGAGTGCTTTATGGGCCTCTTCTGCCGTGATCCTTACAGCTCTTCCAAGAGGCTTAGACCCATTTAGGAATGAGAACACAAGCCCAGAGAAGCTGAGTCCCTTGCCCCAGATCGCATGTAATTTGCAAGGGCAGCCTGGCCCCAAGTTGAGCTATGCTATAGCCTGAGGGCAGCAGTTGCTACTCCTCCCAGCCTCTGCAAGCCATGGTCACCAGTTCCCAGCCCATGTGGGGTGGGCTTCCCAACCAGGGATGCACCGACGCTGCCAGGGTAGCTTCTGAGAGACAGCCAGAGCCTCTATTCTGCCTCATGCATCACCTTGTCATGCTCAGGGAGGTCCAGTCCCCCAACAACACATGTGGGGGTTGTTTCTGAACAAAGCCGAAGTAAGTCAGCTCAACTTTGAGGTTAGTTGGAGCTGTCTCTTGCAGTATCGAAAATAAACAGTTGTGATTACAAACTGAGAAATGGTCTACGGAGGCTATTGGCAGAGAATCAAGGGGGCATATGAAAATCTGGGTTTGCAGTCACTCTTTGGAAATTTCTTCTTCTGAGCTTGTCTGTCACCTTTCTGAGTCTCTATCTTTATCTCCAGGCATCGGGATTTGGATGGTTAATTGTCTTTGGTGTTCGTGGTAATTACACATGCAAATCCCTATGCACAGGGGTGAAAATATGACCCATGAAACCTTTTTTGTTTGTTTCGTAATTTTCATTTTGAGTCAATAACCAAGATGGCACTTCATAGTGTTACTAATATGCTGCTCTGTTGATCTCATGACAAGTATGTTATTTTCTGCAATTTTGAGTACCAGTTTATTTAACTGACTCTAATTTTGAGCCTTAACTGCTTTGCAAAACCTTGCTTTTCGCTAGATTTAGTCTCCTGAGTCCCAAGCCGAGAGCTCAGTGCCTCCTGCACTATCCTGCCCCACCCCACCCCCTAGCCAGCAGCGAGTGTTAAGGCTCTTGGTGCAAATGTGCTGATTCGGGAGAGCTCTGTCTGGTCTCTCCGTTTAGATGATGAGGTAACCGTGGGGAAGTTCTATGCCACTTTCCTGATACAGGACTACTTTAGGAAATTCAAGAAACGGAAAGAACAAGGACTGGTGGGAAAATACCCCGCGAAGAACAGCACAATTGCCCTACAGGTGAATTGTTGTTTTGTCTTTTTCTCTTTTCACTAACGATTTTACAAGCTTATTTGAAACACTAGAGAGCTGACTATTCATGGTTGAGCAGTACCATCAGGATTTTGTTTAAAGTGAGATACTGCACACTCCCCCAAATGTGGACTAGCCATTTCTGGGCCACCAGGTAAGTGCCTCCCCTCCCTGCCTTCTCTGTCGTGCCCCTGCATCTGCATCCACCGCGGCCCATGTGGCAGGACCTCCGGGACAGCGGCCAGGGCACATCCCTGGCGGGAAGGGAGCCACAGCTGCCCTCGCACCCTGTCTCCCCCAGGCTTCTCCAAAGGCAGTGTCCTCTGAGCAGGCACCCACCTTCCCCCAGCCCCGGGCTTGGGCCCCAGCTGCCCACAAAACAGCTTTCCATCTGAATGCAAGTGCTTTGTTTTGTTTCTGTTTGTTTCTTACCCCACTGCTTGTTGGTTTTCGGTCCATTTCAGTAACATCCATCACCTCCTAGTGCGTGTGTGCGTGCGTATGTGCATAAGCGTGTGTATGTACGTGCGGCGTGTGTGTCTCTGTGTGTTGTTTCCTGACGGCCCTGAGGCTCGCTGTGCAAACATTGTTCTCTCGCATCTTGGCCAGCCTCTGGCCCCTATGTCAGCCTGGGCCCTGCCCAGGCTCCTGGAGGGGCTGTCGTTCCAGGAACCCCTGGTTCTAACTAGGATCTTTGCATTCAAGGGTGTAGAATCCTAGATAAACCTAAAGCCCTAGGTGGGAAGCAGGTGTGTGGGGAAAGGGAGTCAAAGTGGAAATCTGCTAAGAGGTGCTAGGAAGAGAAGTTGGTGATTCCTGTGGTGAAGAAAGAGGGGTGGAGAAGGAATGGGGAAAAGATGCTAAGCGCTGCAGAAAGGGGACTGCAGAGGTTGGCAAGCTGTCAAAGCAACTGTCCAGATTAATCAAAAGCCCTGTCATCTCTGCTGTCTGGAATGTGTTAAGTCCATCATGAATAAGATAAAGAATCTTTCCCTTTTAAATTTATTTCCTCCCAAATCACTTTTGTGTCCCTGTTATCACCATGTGTCTTAAATTGGGCCTTGTTGGTATGGGTGAGGTTCAGTGTGAAATAGTCCTTCGCTTTTCTTCTAGGGGAAAATGCCCAGCCTTGTTTTGTGTTCTAGGTGATGGTAATTACCAAAGTGTGAAGACTTGTCTGATCTCTCTGAGAGAGAATGAACACGAATAACAATGAATGAGTGAAGGAAGGAGTGGGGGGGTGTGCATATGGCGGGTTCGGAGATGACCTGGTATGACCGTGACTTGTTGATTCATGACGAAACCTGGGCTCTGCCCAGACAGCTACAGGGCGGGGGGAAAGATGGATGCTGAATCTGACCAAAGACAATTTCTGGTCTTTCTTCCTCTGATCACATCTTTAAAGGTAGCTTAGTGAGTCACAGGCTCAAAAGCTGACTGCTATCTCAGGTTGTACAATTTGAGTAAAGTTCTTTCACCTCTGGCTGATCAGTTTGCAAAAATAACAGCCCTTCTCCTGATCACAGTTCACAAGTAGACTCAGAGAGCCTAGCACACTGAAAAGATGTGTTTGCAAATTTAAACATAGTTCTTGAGGGCAGTGTGGCCGATTTGGGTGCAAGGACAGGGAGTGATAACGTGCTTCCACTGGCTTTTCTCTAATGTGGCCCTGGGCCTGGAGGACTTGGCTGGCTGGATTTCAGAGTGTCGTGGTGCCCCCACCCACACCCCTCCTGTCCATTTATAGGGGACCTGCTTGCCGTTCTCGGATTCTAATTGGTGGGTGTGGTAGAACTTGATGACTTTTCTAGAGGGGGAAACATACTCTTTCATGGATGACTATGTTGTAATTCACAGTAACCAAGGTAGCACTGTGTTCTGAGACCTTCTGTTTTCTGTGGAAGGCCTGTGTGATGACCACCTGGATACAGAGTTATACCTTTACTGAATCCCCAAGATTTCCCACTTAGATGGCTTCAGTGCTTGCTCTGGTAGCTGGATATAATATTTGGGTGTTCTAAAACCTGAACAATAACACATGGCTAAGTAACTCATGGTCACATCTCAAGGGTGGGTTTCACTGAGTCTTCAAGTTGAAGGTTGGAATGATGCTTAAGCTACATGTATAAGTCATGGGTTAAAGACTGTTACATTGTGTCACAGTAATGTTTTACTTTTTTCATTTTGCTGTTTATAGAAAGTTTCATTTCCTTGGTGAAATTAAAATATTTTCAGTTAGATGCTAATATCAACACACTCTCACATGGTTCCACTGAGAGTTGAGGCTGTGACTATAATTTATGTTAAGTACCCAGCCTAGGAAATTAAGTTGTGTTCATAATCTTGACAGATACATTCTGAAAATGCGTTTGATTCCTTCAGCAAACATCAAAAATAGAAAATTTTTGTCTCCTTGAAGGATAATTCTAATTACATTTTTGGCTTCTGCTGCTCTAGAAAGGGCTCTAAATGTGATTTGTCACTTGACTTTGAATTAGCACGACAAGGCTCTTCCTTTCTGCATTGGGGAAATATTATGTGACAGTGTGGCAGTTAGGGAAACGGGGTCTCAGGGCAGTGGGAGGAGAAATGGATCAACAGTGTCACTAGGTTGAGTGCACAGATCCTCAAGGAAGCTCCCCAAAGCAGGCCCAGCCTATTGAGAAGTGGGGTGAGCTGCTCCTCCTGGGACTGGGGCGCCGCCAGGCTGACGGCTCCATTGCTGTTGGAAGGTGGAGTGAGCACAGGAGTCAGGACGTAGGCAAGTGCGTGCTTGTGCTGCGTAGAGTGCAGTCTGTCTGAGCAGGGTCGGAGCTGGTCCACGTTCCTGGCCCCACCCCACAATGGAATGGTTTTCGAGGGCACACAGATGCACTCTGGTTACCAGCCTCGTGGGCTCCATTCGGTGTCCCTCTGTTCAGACCAACCACAGTGCCCCTTCTACATGAAGGGGAGCGGCTTGAGGAGGTACGTGCGGGTAGGAGCTCGGCACCCGGTGTCCTCTGGCCTCTGTGGTCTGAATGAGTGTGCAGTTTCCATCCGTACATCCATCTTCATCCTTAAAGCCGGCCTTCTCTCCAGCCCCTCTCCAAAGGGAGTCAGAGAGAAGCTGCCTCAAGCTTTTCTTTTTTTTCCTCACCCATCCCCTACATGCCACATTCACTTTAGTTTGACTCAGCCTTTGCTCTTCATCCATCGTTGCTGCATCCCAGTGACCCACGAGTTTCCACAAGGAGCAAGTAAATAAAGGAACACAGCTCTGCAGCCACGAAAACTCTGTCCCTTCCCAGCAAATAGCAATGCCCCATCTGACCTTCCAGATGAGGACTTCTGTGCAAGATACAGGCGTGAATTCGTCCTGTGTCTCATGGATTGGGAGGGAAAGGATCCCAGAGTGGGGAAAGTTTTGTTCATTTCTTTTTCTTTCAATACTCAAGGATGTCCTTTATGCAAAAGACATTCTGGTGGAATCTGAGGAGACTGTTCTCCACTCATCCCAGATGGGATCCTGCCCATCTTCATGACAGGAAGACTTTAGAGGGATAGCCTTTCTTTTTCTTTCTTTCTTTATTTCTTTCCTTTTTTCTTTTGTCTGTTTGGAAGTTGAGTTTAAAGAGGAGACCATCATTTACAGCTTGTAAAGAATTAGGCGGTTAGGCTTTAACCTAATGTGAAAGCCAGAGACCCAACAGATAGTGATGTAGGTGGCCCAGTGGAAAGGTGGGTGGTGTACCAGAATAAAATGACTCTTAGTCCCTCCTGAGAGAGGCTCAGGCCTAAAGACAGAGGAAAACGGGACCCACAGACATTTAACCTGTAGAGTATCCGACACCTGTTGTCTAGTCCCCTTATTCTAAGAAGTAGCAAGATTTTTTGGTCTGTTTTTAAAGCATGATTCCATCGAAAGCCATAAAAAGGCTTTTCCTTTTTAATCTAAGAGAACAGATGCTAACAGATGAGATTTCACTGGCTGATTCATTTGTTTCAGATGCTTGAACGGATGCTTTAGAATTTTCTGCCTGAGCTACAGCACCAAGCTCGTTAGTCGGAAGGCGTTGGTGGCTAAGGCCTTGAAAGGGAAAAGTCTCAAGTGGGCTTATTTCTACTGAAACAGCATTTCGGGAGAAATGCAGGAAAAAGCAAACCCAAGGCCCCAGGGAGACCCCTTCCAAGCAAAGCACTCCTCCGGAAGGTGGAAGCGAGGCCGTGGCTCGACTGTGGAGCCGTGGCCTCCTGTCGCGGACGCTGCTCGTGGTGGCTCCTTTTCATGAAAGGGAACATGCAAGGCTTAACAGTTTTCCCTTCTGAGCAGAGACTCAGAGAAAGGGAAAGAGTGAGAGAAAGCAAAGGAGGTGGGCAGCCGCCCTGCAGAGAAATGAAATGAACACAACTTCCTGATGCTGGCCAGTAAAAAAAAAAAAATTAATAAAAAGATTAAGCAGACCTGCCTAAGGTGGGCAGCTGACTCCATTCCAAAGTCCTGCATCCCTAGTTTGTCCGAACTACCAAAGACTGGCAGGCCCCTTGGCGCTGAGCTGACAGAGTTCCTTTTCTATGCCAGTCCGTCATGACCTCCTGACCATCCAGCTCCGCTCTCTGCAGTGACCAGTGCAGGATGCAGTGAGATGGGGGCGGGACAGGACGCTCAGACACACCCATTTAAATTAACACATACACCTGCATGCCCAACCAACCCAGGCAACACCTCAGGTTCCATCTTAATGCGTCCACGGGAAATACCACCACACCCCAACCTCATCCGACATTGTCCGTCTTTAAGTCAAAGCCAGTTTGGGGATGCCTCTTTGGAAGCAGTGTGGTCTAGTTTCAAGGACACTGGGAGTCAGGGAACCTGGGTTCTAGTCCCAGCTCCAGCGTTCACTTGCTGCGTGACCTTGGGCAAGACACTTAACCTCTCTGTGCCTCAGTTTCCCCATCTGTAAAATGGGGGTAATCATGTCGACCTACCTCACAGGGCTGTTGTGAGG